TCACCTGTATGTGTTACCTGTGTATGTTACATGTGCATGTTACTTGCGTATGTTACCTGTGTGTGTTACCTGTGTATGTTACCTGTGTATGTTACTTATGTTTATTACTTGTGTATGTCACCTGTATGTGTTACCTGTATATGTTACATGTGCATGTTACTTGCGTATGTTACCTGTGTATGTTAACTGTGTGTATTACCTGTGTATGTTACCTGTGTATGTTACCTGTGTGTGTTACCTGTGTATGTTACCTGTGTATGTTACCTGTGTATGTTACCTGTGTATGTTACTTGTGTGTGTTACCTGTGTATGTCACCTATGTATGTTACCTGTGTGTGTTACCTGTGTATGTTACCTGTGTATGTTACCTGTGTGTGTTACCTGTGTATGTTGCCTGTGTATGTTACCTGTGTATGTTACCTGTGCATGTTACCTGTGTGTGTTACCTGTGTATGTTACCTGTGTATGTTACTTGTGTGTGTTACCTGTGTATGTTACATGTGTATGTTACCTGTGTGTGTTACCTGTGTATGTTACCTGTGTATGTTACCTGTGTATGTTACCTGTGTATGTTACCTGTGTATGTTACCTGTGTATGTTACCTGTGTATGTTACCTGTGTATGTTACTTGTGTGTTACCTGTGTATGTTACTTGTGTGTGTTACATGTGTTTGCCACCTGTGTGTTACCTGTGTATGTTACCTGTGTGTGTTACCTGTGTATGTTACCTGTGTATGTTACTTGTGTATGTTACCTATGTATGTTACATGTACATGTTACTTGCGTCTGTTACCTGTGTGTGTTACCTGTGTATGTTACCTGTGTATGCTACCTGTGTAAGTTACCTGTGTGTTACCTGGGCATGTTACCTGTGTGTGTTACCTGTGTATGTTACCTGTGCATGTTACCTGTGTGTGATACCTGTGTGTGTTACCTGTGTATGTTACCTGCGTATGTTACCTGTGTATGTTACCTGTGTGTGTTACCTGTGTGTGTTACCTGTGTATGTTACCTGTGTATGTTACCTGTGTGTGTTACCTGTGCATGCTACCTGTGTATGTTACCTGTGAATGTTACCTGTGTGTGTTACCTGTGTATGTTACCTGTGTATGTTACCTGTGTGTGTTACCTGTGTATGTTACCTGTGTATGTTACATGTACATGTTACTTGCGTCTGTTACCTGTGTGTGTTACCTGTGTATGTTACCTGTGTATGCTACCTGTGTAAGTTACCTGTGTGTTACCTGTGTATGTTACCTGTGTGTGTTACCTGTGTATGTTACCTGTGCATGTTACCTGTGTGTGTTACCTGTGTGTGTTACCTGTGTATGTTACCTGCGTATGTTACCTGTGTATGTTACCTGTGTATGTTACCTGTGTGTGTTACCTGTGTATGTTACCTGTGTATGTTACCTGTGTGTGTTACCTGTGTATGTTACCTGTGTATGTTACCTGTGTCAGTTACCTTTGTATGTTACCTGTTTATGTTACCTGTGTGTGTTCTTTGTTTTTGTTACCTGTGTATGTTACCTGTGTATGTTACCTGTGTATATTACCTGTGTGTGTTATCTGTGTATGTTACCTGTGTATGTTACCTGTGTGTGTTACCTGTGTATGTTACCTGTGTAGGTTACCTGTGTATGTTACCTGTGTATATTACTTGTGTGTTACCTGTGCATGTTACCTGTGTATGTTACCTGTGTGTGTTACCTGTGAATGTTACCTGTGTATGTTACCTGTGTGTGCTACCTGTGTATGTTACCTGTGTATATTACCTGTGTGTGTTACCTGTGTATGTTACCTGTGTATGTTACCTGTGTGTATTACCTGTGTATGTTACCTGTGTATATTACCTGTGTGTGTTACCTGTGTATATTACCTGTGTATGTTACCTGTGTGTGTTACCTGTGTATGTTACCTGTGTATGTTACCTGTGTATGTTACCTGTGTATGTTACTTGTGTGTGTTACCTGTGTATGTTACCTGTGTATGTTACCTGTGCGTGTTACCTGTGTATGTTACCTGTGTATGTTACATGTGCATGTTACCTGTGTGTGTTACCTGTGTATGTTACCTGTGTATGTTACCTGTGTATGTTACCTGTGTGTGTTACCTGTGTATGTTGCCTGTGTATGTTATCTGCGTATGTTACCTGTGTATGCTACTTGTGTGTGTTACCTGTGTATGTTACCTGTGTATGTTACCTGTGCATGTTACCTGTGTGTTACCTGTGTATGTTACCTGTGTATGTTACTTGTGTTTGTTACCTGTGTATGTTTCCTATGTATGTTACCTGTGTGTGTTACCTGTGTATGTTACCTGTGTATGTTACCTGTGTATGTTACCTGTGTATGTTACCTGTGTATATTACATGTGTATGTTACCTGTGTGTTACCTGTGTATGTTACTTGTGTATGCCACCTGTGTTACCTGTGTATGTTACCTGTGTATGCTAATTGTGTGTGTTACCTGTGTATGTTACCTGTGTGTGTTTCCTGTGTATGTTACCTGTGTATGTTACTTGTGTGTGTTACCTATGTATGTTACATGTGCATGTTACTTGCGTATGTTACCTGTGTGTGTTACCTGTGTATGTTACCTGTGTATGTTACTTGTGTGTGTTACCTGTGTATGTTACCTGTGTATGTTACCTGTGTATGTTACCTGTGCATGTTACTTGTGTGTGTTACCTGTGTACGTTACCTGTGTATGTTACCTGTGTATGTTACCTGTGTATGTTACCTGTGCATGTTACCTGTGTGTGTTACCTGTGTGTGTTACCTGTGTATGTTACCTGTGTATGTTACCTGTGTATGTTTCCTGTGTATGTTACCTGTGTGTGTTACCTGTGTATGTTGCCTGTGTGTGTTACCTGTGTATGTTACCTGTGTTTGTTACCTGTGTGTGTTACCTCTGTATGTTACCTGTGTATGTTACCTGTGTGTTAATTGTGTATGTTACCTGTGTATGTTACCTGTGTATGTTACCTGTGTATTTTACTTGTGTGTGTTACCTGTGTATGTTACCAGTGTATGTTACCTTTGTGTATGTTACCTGTGTATGTTACACTTGTATCACGCCTGTGTGTGTTACCTGTGTATGTTACCAGTGTATGTTACCTGTGTGTATTACCTGTGTATGTTACCAGTGTATGTTACCTGTGTGTGTGCTACCTGTGTATGCTACACTTGTATGTTACCTGTGTGTGTTACCTGTGTATGTTACCTGTGTGTGTTACCTGTGTGTGTTACCTGTGTATGTTTCCTTTGTATGTTACCGGTGTATGTTACCTGTGCATGTTACCTGTGCATGTTACCTGTGTGTGTTACCTGTATGTGTTACCTGCCTATGTTACCTGTGTATGTTACCTGTGAATATTACCTGTGTATGATACCTGTTTATGTTACATGTATGTTACCTGTGTATGTTACCTGTGTATGCTACATGTGCATGTTACCTGTGTATGTTACCTGTGTATGTTACCTGTGTATGTTACCTGTGTATGTTACCTGTTTAAGTTACCTGTGTGTTACCTGTGTATGTTTCCTGTGTGTGTTACCTGTGTTTGTTACCTGTGTATGTTACCTTTGTGTGTTAATTGTGTATGTTACCTGTGTATGTTACCTGTGTGTGTTACCTGTGTATATCATGTGGGGTTCGAACACGTGGATAGGGTAAAGAAATACTCACGTAGGCTGGTAGTACGTATAATTATAACAAGAATTGGTAGGCGCCAAACAGCCGGTGACCTGCCTCCTTGCTCTCTCTCGTAAGACTGACTAACCCCAGTACCCATATGTGAGGGGGGTGTTTGAAATACTGCTGTGGTCAGCAACAATATGAATACAGACAGTGATTCACGCAGAGACGGTTGGTAGTGAGTCATCTACTGGTACACTGGTTACTGGTAACTGGTTACTAGGAACTGGTACTACTACTGAGATATATGTTACCTGTGTATGTTACCTGTGTATGTTACCTGTGTATGTTACCTGTGTATGTTACTTGTGTGTGTTATCTATGTATGTTACATGTGCATGTTACTTGCGTATGTTACCTGTGTGTGTTACCTGTGTATGTTACCTGTGTATGTTACCTGTATACGTTACCTGTGTGTGTTACCTGTGTGTGTTACCTGTGTTACCTGTGAATGTTACCTGTGTATGTTACCTGTGTATGTTGCCTGTATGTTACCTGTGTGTGTTGACTGTATGTTACCTGTGTATGTTACCTGTGTATGTTTCTTGTTTATGTTACCTGAGTATGTTACCTGTTTGTATTACCTGTGTATGTTACCTGTGTTTGTTACCTGTGTGTGTTACCTGTATATAAGTCATGCTGACCGGTTTTTGTTCACTGTTGTTGTTGCTGTTGACTGTTGTTACTGTTTACTGTTTTTGTTGTTGTTGACTTTTGTTATTGTTGTCTGTTGTTGTTGTTGACTGTTATTGTTGCATACTGTTGTTGTTGCTGGCTGCTGTTTTTGTTGACTGTTGTTGCTTTTGACTGTTGTTATTGTTGGTGACTGCTACTACTGTTGTTGTTGTTGTTGACTGTTGTTGTTGTTGATTGTTGTTGTTGACTGTTGTTGTTGACTGTTGTTGTTGACAGTTGTTGTTGTTGACTGCTGTTGTTGTTGACTGTTGCTGTTGTTGACTGTTGTTGTTGTTGACTGTTGTTGTTGTTGACTGTTGTTGTTGTTGACTGTTGTTGTTGTTGACTGCAGGTTAGTAAGACAATGTAGATTGTCTGGTGAGGAAGAGTGACGCACTCTCCTTCGCTGAATCTTACACTGTTCTCTAATACATTAATACATATTTAATCTCTCTCTCTCTCTCTCTCTCTCTCTCTCTCTCTCTCTCTCTCTCTCTCTCTCTCTCTCTCTCTCTCTCTCTCTCTCTCTCTCTCTCTCTCTCTCTCTCACTGGAGGCGGAGGGGTGGTTGAGGTGGAGGAAAGGAGTGGGTAAGAGAGGGCTACAAGCTAGGCACACCTACGAGTGCCAGCAGTTACTCTCTCTCCTCAGTGAAGACAACACTGGCTCTTCCTCCAGTCACCTTGATAACTGGGAGAGCACGAGGGTGGTGAGGGGTAGTGAGGTGGTAGTAGTGGTGATGGGTAGTGAGGTGGTAGTAGTGGTGATGGGTAGTGAGGTGGTAGTAGTGGTGATGGGTAGTGAGGTGGTAGTAGTGGTGATGGGTAGTGAGGTGGTAGTAGTGGTGATGGGTAGTGAGGTGGTAGTAGTGGTGATGGGGTAGTGAGGTGGTAGTAGTGGTGATGGGTAGTGAGGTGGTAGTAGTGGTGATGGGTAGTGAGGTGGTAATACTGGTGATGGTTGTGGTAATGGTGATTACGGTGGTGGGCAGTACTGGAGTTCTGTCACTACAACAACAACAAACACACCAGCAGTGTGCTACTACTCTGTCTTACATGGTGGTTACACAGTGAGAACAAAAGCTAGCTATGTTTCCCTGTCATATTCCATCACACACGTTGGATTACATATTTACATGAAGAGCATATATATGTCGTGCCGAGTAGGTAAAACTTGCGATTTTGGCTTAAATAGCAACGCTCTTCATGCCGAATAAGGCAACTGAAAATTTGTGTATGCAATAATTTCGCAAAAATCATTCGGAACCTAACGAGAAAAATATATTTCATTGTGTTTGTTTATTATTAAATTATTGTAAATTTATCTAAAATATATGTAGCTGGATTAAGCTAAGTTATATTGCACTTGTTATAATAAGGTTAGGTAAGTTTTCTAAGCTTCTTTTGGTGCAAAGTTAATGTTTAAATTAACATATATGAAAAAAATATATCTTTAAACGTATAAGAGAAAATTTCGGAAAGGACTTAATTTTTAATGAGTTCTTGCTAATTGACCAATTTTACCTTTTTCGGCACGACATATATATATATATATATATATATATATATATATATAATATATATATATATATATATATATATATATATATATATATATATATATATATATATACTGCAAGAGCAGTACACAAACACTGATCTCTGGCCAAATGAGACTCGAACCTACGAAACTTGGAACAAGGTGCACAGTGCTTAGCACTGCATAGGTTCGAGTCTCCTTCGGCCAGAGATCAGTGTTTATATATATATATATATATATATATATATATATATATATATATATATATATATATATATATAGAGAGAGAGAGGAGAGAGAGAGAGAGAGAGAGAGAGAGAGAGAGAGAGAGAGAGAGAGAGAGAGAGAGAGAGAGAGAGAGAAGAGAGAGAGAGAGAGAGAGTAAGAGGTGGATGGGACAAAAGGAAAATGGCAACAACAAGTAAGAGAGAGATGAAAGTTTATAAACTAAGGGAGGAAGAAGTTCGGGTGAGATATAAGCAACTATTGGCAGAAAGGTGGGCTGGTGCAAGTATGAGTAGTGGGGGGGTTGAAGAGGGTTGGAATAGTTTTAAAAATGCAGTATTAGAATGTGGGGCAGAAGTTTGTGGTTATAGGAGGGTGGATGCAGGAGGAAAGAGGAGTGATTGGTGGAATGATGAAGTAAACGGTGTGATAAAAGAGAAAAGGGTAGCTTATGAGATGTTTTTACAAAGCAGAAGTGTTATAAGAAGAATAGAGTATATGGAGAGTAAAAGAAAGGTGAAGAGAGTGTTGAGAGAGTGCAAAAGGAGAACAGATGATAGAGTGGGAGAGGCACTGTCAAGAAATTTTGCTGAGAATAAGAAAAAATTTTGGAGTGAGTTAAACAAGCTAAGAAAGCATAAGGAACGAATGGATTTGTCAACTACAAACAGAGTAGGGTAGTAGATGGGGAGATGGAGGTATTGGGTAGATAGCGAGAATATTTTGAGGAACTTTTAAATGTCCACGAAGAAAGGGAGGCGGCAATTTCTTGCACTGGCCAGCGAGGTATACCATCTTTTAGGAGTGAAGAAGAGCAGGACGTGAGTGTGGGGGAGGTGCGTGAGGCATTACGTCCAATGAAAGGGGGTAAAGCAGCTGTAACTGATGGGATCATAACAGAAATGTTAAAAGCAGGGGGGGGGGTTATAGTGTTGGAGTGGTTGGTATTTTTGTTTAATAAATGTATGAAAGAGGGGAAGGTACCTAGGGATTGGCGGTGAGCATGTATAGTCCCTTTATATAAAGGGAAGGGAGACAAAAGAGATTGTAAAAATTATCGAGGAATAAGTTTACTGAGTATACCAGGAAAAGTGTACGGTAGGGTTATTATTGAAAAAATTAGAGGTAAGACAGAATGTAGAATTGCGGATGAGCAAGGAGGTTTTAGAGTGGGTAGGGGATGTGTAGATCAAGTGTTTACATTGAAGCATATATGTGAATAGTATTAATATAAAGGTAGGGAAGTTTTTATTGCATTTATGGATTTAGAAAAGGCAGATGATAGAGTGGATAGGGGAGCAATGTGGCAGATGTGGCAGGTATATGGAATAGGTGGTAAGTTACTAAATGCTGTAAAGAGTTTTTATGAGGATAGTGAGGCTCAGGTTAGGGTGTGTAAAAGAGAGGGAGACTACTTCCCGGTAAAAATAGGTCTTAGGCAGGGATGTGTAATGTCACCATGGTTGTTTAATATATTTATAGATGGGGTTGTAAAAGAAGTAAATGCTAGGGTGTTCGGGAGAGGGGTGGGATTAAATTATGGGGAATCAAATACAAAATGGGAACTGACACAGTTACTTTTTGCTGATGATACTGTGCTTATGGGAGATTCTAAAGAAAAATTGCAAAGGTTAGTGGACGAATTTGGGAGTGTGTGTAAAGGTAGAAACTTGAAAGTGAATATAGAAAAGAGTAAGGTGATGAGGGTATGAAATGATTTAGATAAGAAATATTGGATATCAAATTGGGGAGGAGGAGTATGGAAGAAGTGAATGTTTTCAGATATTTGGGAGTTGACGTGTCAGCGGATGGATTTATGAAGGATGAGGTTAATCATAGAATTGATGAAAGAAAAAAGGTGAGTGGTGCATTGAGGTATATGTGGAGACAAAAAACGTTATCTATGGAGACAAAGAAGGGAATGTATGAAAGTATAGTAGTACCAACACTCTTATATGGGTGTGAAGCTTGGGTTGTAAATGCTGCAGTGAGGAGGCGGCTGGAGGCAATGGAGAAGTCCTGTCTAAGGGCAATGTGTGGTGTAAATATTATGCAGAAAATTCGGAGTGTGGAAATTAGGAGAAGGTGTGGAGTTAATAAAAGTATTAGTCAGAGAGCCGAAAAGGGGTTGTTGAGGTGGTTTGGTCATTTAGAGAGAATAGATCAAAGTAAAATGACATGGAGAGCGTATAAATCTGTAGGGGAAGGAAGGCGGGGTAGTGGTCGTCCTCGAGAAGGTTGGAGGGTGAGGGTAAAGGAGGTTTTGTGGGCGAGGGGTTTGGGCTTCCAGCAAGCGTGCGTGAGCGTGTTAGATAGGAGTGAATGGAGACGAATGGTATTTGGGACCTGACGAGCTGTTGAAGTGTGAGCAGGGTAATATTTTGCGAAGGGATTAAGGGAAACCGGTTATTTTTATATAGCCGGACTTGAGTCCTGGAAATGGGAAGTACAATGCCTGCACTTTACAGGAGGAGTTTGGGATATTGGCAGTTTGGAGGGATATGTTGTGTATCTTTATACGTATATACTTCTAAACTGTTGTATTCTGAGCACCTCTGCAAAAACAGTGATTATGTGTGAGTGAGGCGAAAGTGTTGAATGATGATGAAAGTATTTTCTTATATATATATATATATATATATATATATATATATATATATATATATATATATATATATATATATATATATATATATATATATATATGCATTTCCACATTCTGTAATGTTCTAATTCTATGTTTATGTTACTTCAGAAACACTAAGTAACTCGCAAATTATGAACTAACAAGGTGGATTAGACTAATTAATGAACATCATTTTAATCAAGGGTGGGACCAGGGAAGGTAACTTTGGTCAAAGCTGAGAGTAAGGAAGGTAGGCAGGCAGCACTCACACACACACACACAAACATTGCCTCTCAGAGTGACACAGAGATAGCAGAAAGAGCAGACTGACTTGTCAGTCTCGTGGCGACAGGTCATTGGCGAGGGAGAGGACAGAGACGGAGGAAGTGACTGACAGGGCAGTGTGTGGAGCAGTGGCAGACAGAACCACTGTCTTGAAGCTGCGACACACAGTAGTAGTGTGGGAAGCAGCTACCAACAGTGGCAGTGTCTGGAACAATGACTGACAGAGGCAGTGTCTAGAGCAGTGACTAATAGAAGCAGTGTCTGGAGCAGTGACTAATAGAAGCAGTGTCTTGAGCAGTGACTGACAGAGGCAGTGTCTGAAACAGTAAGGGGACAGAAGCAGTGACGGGGACAGCAGTGATCGCAGGTGTGGCAGTGAGAGGTGTGCAGTGCTTCAGAGAAGAGCTCCTCTCTACACCATGGTGAGGGAGGAAGCACAGCAGCAGGAGGAGCAGCGAGGAGGCTGGAACCTCGGCAGGATAGGTAAGAAGGATCCTAATGGTGTCGGTGAAAAGATCTTGATCCGAGGAATTGGAGCTACCCCTTTCCACTTCTTCCAATCAAATCTGATTATTTCCCACTGTTACATTAAAAAATAATTGTAGTAATAATATGAGCAAAAGCAACGAGGATATTATTATTATTATTATTATTATTATTATTATTATTATTATTATTATTATTATTATTATTATTATTATTATTGTTGTTATTGTTATTGATATTATTATTATTATTATTGTTATTATTATTATTATTATTATTATTATTATTATTATTATTATTATTATTATTAATTATTATTTTCTTTTATTAATACTGCTACTATTACCACTGCAAGTATTATACTATTATTATCAATTCTACTACTATTACTATTATTATTATTATTATTATTACTACTACTACTATTATTACTATGTACTACTATTACTTTTATTACTACTACTATTACTATTACTATTACTACTACTATTAGTACTACTACTACTACTACTATTCTTTTAATAATAATTAAAATGAGGAAGAAGACGTACTATCAAGAATTATTCCATATTTCTCTTTTTTTTTTTTTTTTGCTAACTTCCACGTCCGGTCTTAAAAACCCGTCATTATTTATCCCTACCCAAGGTGACATGCTGCCCACGAGGCCACCTCTCACCCTCCCGCTGAGAGGTCAGTAAGTCTGACCAACATCTTACACGCTCGTCACAGAAACGGAAGATCAGCAGTGTAAATTATTTATTTTGACAATTTCTAGATGGCAGGTAAATCTTGCTAATTGTTAGTCTGCTTGTGAGTGTTTGTTTCGTTATTCTACCTGCTCGTCCTCTGGTAATTTCTTCGAATTTTCCACGAGGACGTAGGAGAGTTATTTCCGTACAGGAAGGACCGGTAGGAAGTGGTTGGTACCGAGGGACTAGTAGGAAGGAGTTGGTACCGAAAGCCTGATAGGAAGGGGCTGGTACCGAGGGACCGGTAGGAAAGGGTTGGTGCCAAGGGACCGGTAGGAAAGGGCTGGTACAAAGGGACTGGTAGGAAGGGGTTGCTACCGAAGGTCAGGTAGGAAGGGGTTGGTACCGAGGGGACTGGTAGGAAAGGGATGGTACCGAGAGACTGGTAATAAGGGGCTGATACTAAGGGACTGGTTGCTGTTTGTATATGAGTAGGAAGATTGTGAAGAAAAACTGAAGGTGTGCTGTTTGGATGCGCGTGAATGCAGCGCTGTTGTTTAAAGGGAAATACGTTTTAACGTAACGAATTAAACGAAACTTGGTGACCCCTGGACCTGAACGAAACAAAGGTGAAACAATTGAAAGAGTTTCAGCGTGAGGAGTTAAAAGGAACGTGTATGCCTAGTGACAGCACAAGAGCGAGTATGTTTGTATAAATGTAAATGTTAGCTGGACTTGAATCCTGGAGGTAGTGACGCTGCAGTCGGAAGGTCGTCTGAACTGTGATGTCAGCATACTTATGGAAAGACGGCGATTGAGTGAATGATGGTGAATGTGTTATTTATTTTTCTCTGGGTTACCCCCTGCCTTGTTAGGTAAAAAGGACACATGCAAAACTAATGTGACTTTTTTTATGGCAACGTTCGCTCTCCAGAAGCTTTATGAAGTTGTTACAAACAATATAGGAACACAAAGGAAATGTATAGTAGATAACAATGTGAGGCGAAAAGTATAACTGGATCATGTTGTTGGTAGTATTAATAATAGTAGTAGTAGCAGTAGAAGTAGTGCTTGTAGTAGTACTTGTAGTAGTAGTAGTAGTAGTGGAGGTAACTCATGATTGCTATGTGATTGTGGGATTTATTGCTATGAGAACTTTTCCTAATACTTCAGAAATGACGAAGCTGCCTTTATTCTGCTTAGTAGGAAGGGGCTGGAAAAGACAACTAAAGATGACTCGAGGCATTTTCTTCCGCAGAAATTATGCTCCTGATCGCAAGACGAGCGTCGTTAAATCTCATCAAATAGTTGACGGAATTCCTGCGTTTTACACATGCATTGTTCAAGTCATCGTTCATGAATGCATTGATGTCTTCACAGAGTCGTGTTTCCAGGCTCCGTGCTATTTCACCGACGTATACCTTGTCACAGCTTCCACAAGGGATTGTGTAAACGCCTGCACTGATCAACTGGTTCGATGTTCTTTGCCTTGGTCTCGGTCAGATCTCTGATGATTGAGTTTTGGAAGTGGAAAGTATGGTGCTTGATCTGTAAAATTTGGTCGCTGATGCTGGGGTTTAGTGAGTCACTGACTCGTGATCTCTGTGCACGTTTGAAAAGACAGACAGGGAGCGAGTAATGGTGAAGTGAAGGATTAAAGAAAGAATAAGATGGTAAGTGTTGACCTACGGAGAATTAGAAGAAGAAGAAACCCACGAATGGGATAGACATCACTCGAGAATAACGAGTTGTTTAGGGAGAGAATAAGACAGCAAGTCTTGATCTACGTAGAAGTTAAAAGGGGAATGCCACGAAGAGTTGCAAAAATCAGTCGAGAATGATGTGTTGTTCATGGGGAGGAAAAAGCATGAGAGATGGATGTTTATCACTAGGAGTGCACGAGTGCAGCCTTCCAGTGAGAGCAGTTAGTTATCGACCCGCCAAGAAAGTTCTTGCAACACCGTGTACAGGAGACTGGAGGCCACGCCCGAGTTATCGAAAATGAATCAACATTCGAATGGAGCGGAGAAGCGAGGAAGAGAAAGATCAAAATAGTCAGTGCCTGTGTGATATAAGTGAATAATAAACATGTGAGTGTGAGTGTGAGGGATGGATAACCATGGAAACCCGAAGTTGCAAGCAAATGTAAAGACTGAAGAATTAGACACATGTGCATCATCTGGGTATCTTTTGAAGACGTTTCGCCATCCAGTGGCTTCATTAATACAATACAAGGACGTATTATATTGATGAAGCTACCGGATGGCGAAACGTCTACAAATAAAGATACCAAGATGTTACACATGTGTCTAATTCTTCATCTTGTAGTTATTGTTTACCGTTCATGTACAGACGTCACAACTGCACCAGACTTCAGTATAAGGTGATGAATCCATCTATCACAATGGATAAAGAGAGACCATCTACCTGGGAAAGAGACCTCACCAGGTAGGTCTGTTTGTGACTTGATAAAGGCCATTGTGCGGGGGAAACGTTGCCAATAAAGGATGGCATTATACGGTATTAGTGTGTCTATCCACCGTGTACGTACTCTATACCTTTTTCCCGCATCTATCACTCTAAAGCAACGCTACCTAGAAAATGCACAGCTTATCTCTCTCTCTCTCTCTCTCTCTCTCTCTCTCTCTCTCTCTCTCTCTCTCCTCTCTCTCTCTCTCTCTCTCTCTCTCTCTCTCTCTCTTCTCTCTCTCTCTCTCTCTTCTCTCTCGCTCTCTCTCTCCTCTCTCTCTCTCTCTCTCTCTCTCTCTCTCTCTCTCTCTCTCTCTCTCTCTCTCTCTCTCTCTCTCTCTCTCTCTCTCTCTTCCTCTTTTTTTTTACACAGGGTTTGACAAGGTTAAGGATTCCTAGTTTTATTGACAAGCATTTACATTTTAAGGATTCCTAACTTTATTGACAAGCATTTACAGGTTAAGGATTCCTAACTTTATTGACAAGCTATTTACAGGTTAAGGATTCCTAACTTTATTGACAAGCATTTACAGGTTAAGGATTCCTAACTTTATTGACAAGCTATTTACAGGTTAAGGATTCCTAACTTTATTGACAAGCTATTTACAGGTTAAGGATTCCTAACTTTATTGACAAACTATTTACATGTTAAGGATTCCTAACTTTATTGGCAAACTAAGAGCTGTTACCTACATCAGCTCATTTGAAAGCATTTTTATTGTTATGAGACATACAAGTAGGGAACAGGATGAAGTTGGAGCCATCTGTGGGCCAGCATTTCCATTTGATCAACTGACTTTATCTCGTTGACATCATCATGCTGTACGAATGTGTTCCATACTCGAGTCATCCTGGGTATATATGATCTCAGATGGAGTGATGTTCTGGAGAAGGGTACAGCCAGAGTGAAGTTGCTGCTTTCTGCCCGTCTTGTGGCATAAAAGCTTGTTTCACGCTGTCCTCGAAGTGGATCCAAGTGTGGTACTTTGACAATATTGGCCTTGTACATAACAGTAAGGCCACCCACATCCCTTCTGTGTTGAAGGCTCTGCTAAAATGACAGATCTATCCAGGATGGGTCCAGGCGAGAGATGAGACGTCTTGCTCTGTTCTCTACTCTGTCAAGCAGTCGCAGATGAGAGGGGGGACAGGCAAACCAAGAAAGTGGAGCATACTCAAGGTGTGAGCGTACTTGTCTCTCTCTCTCTCTCTCTCTCTCTCTCTCTCTCTTCTCTCTCTCTCTCTCTCTCTCTCTCTCTCTCTCTCTCTCTCTCTTGGCCAGCTGAGTAAACTATTCGTTCTGGCGTGTGGTTGAGATGGTCTTTTGTACACACATACAAAAGTGTATTACAAAGAAACAGCGGATCAAGTCACTTATGAACACTGCAACTGCCCGGCATCACCTCTGTGAGTGATGCCTACCTGGAGTCTATCTGAAGTCTACCTGGAGTCTACCTGGAGTCTACCTGGAATCTACCTGGAGTCTACCTGGAGTCTACCTGGAGTCTACCTGGAGTCTACCTGGAGTCTACCCGGAGTCTATTTGTAGTCTACCTGGAGTCCACCTGGAGTCTACCTGGAGTCTACCTGGAGTCTATTTGTAGTCTACCTGGAGTTCACCTGGAGTCTACTTGGAGTCTACCTGGAGTCTACCTGGAGCCTACCTGGAATCTACCTGGAGTCTACCTGGAGTCTACCTCTCAGTAGTAGTAACCAGTTACCAGTAACCAGTGTACCGGTTGTTGACTCACTGCAAACATCGTCTGCCTGAGTCACTGTCTGAACTCATATTGTGCTGACTAGCACAATTCAAAGACACCTCCATATGCGGTACTTGTGGGCGGCCAGTCAGAGTTACGAGTACTGTGAGTCAAGGAGTACAATGGTACGGCTGAGGGCTCTCCCGACATTTTATCTTAACACTAGTACTACCAGCTACGTGAGTATTTGACTATTACTTTACCCTAATCCACGTGTTTCGAACTCCCACATGATATACCTGGAATCTACCTTAAGGAAATCCCGGGGATCAACGCCCCCCGCGGCCGGGGTCCATGACCGGGCTAGCAGTCCCCCTTCACCTCATTAGCTGAGTTATCTCTACCTACCTGTATCTCTAGAGAAAAAAAAAATATTAAGCCATCTCACACTCGTAGATCGACCGAAATCCTTCAACCTACATACACTCTCATGAAAGAGGCGTAGAATGATAAGAAGACACGAGTGACATGAACCTCCCTCTCCTTCCTCTTCCTCACCCCCTTCCTCTCCCCTTCCCCCCGTCTCTTCCCCCTTCCCCAGCTTTACCCCTCCTCACAGAGCCGAGAAAAGTTATTCCCCCTCCCCGTATTGTCTGAGCTGCTGCTAATTAAAACAAGTAAATAAGAATTCGTTAAAATAAATGATAATAGCAGAACCTAAGTGGGCGTCCTAAAGTGAAAATAGGCGCTCGACAGTAAGTGAGAGAGAGAGAGAGAGAGAGAGAGAGAGAGAGAGAGAGAGAGAGAGAGAGAGAGAGAGAGAGAGAAAGAGAGGTAATGGTATGAGATATCGACACAATGTACTGGAGGCGCAAATAATTGTATGAAACCTTTGCTAGCAACGTTTCGCCCTCAAAGTGAGCTTTATTGGCGACGTTTCGCCCTCACACCAGCGCAGACAAAGTGGACGAGTCTCAAAGGGGGGTGAATACACACAAATGTTTGAATAAGACATATGCTACGTATGATGACACTTTTGTTTATGAGACGTTTCGCTCACCAGGAGCTCCTTCAAGCCAACACGGAGTACGTAAAATCGGAGAACGTGTAGTCGAAGGAAAATACTTGAGAAAGCTTCTAGCTTTCTTTAGGAAATCTTCTAGCTTATTTAAAGAAAACTTTTAGCTTTTTTTAAAGGAAACTTCTAGTTTTTTTAAAGAAAGGTTCTAGCTTTTATAAAGAAAACTTCTAGCTTTTTAAAGAAAGCTTCTAGCTTTTTAAAGAAAGCTTCTAGCTTTTTAATAGTAAACTTCTAGCTTTTAAAGAACGCTTCTAGCTGTGTCTTTAAAGTAGCTCTAACACGCACCCATACTGTTCTAAAGAGTATCAAAGAGGAAACGTTTCGAAGCTGGGCTCCTAATGAATGAACCGGGAAGCAAGATTAGCGGATTCCAACTCGCTGATCGTCAGCGTTTGTTTTTCGCTCTAAACTGCAAAGCCTTTGCAATGTGAAATGCAGCAGTGCTCGTAGAAACGGTTGGTACCGATCTCACTTTACTCTAAACATAGACGGAAGCCGTGTGAAAGTGCAGATGACTAAGTAGATAGCCTCGCTCATACGGAGCATGAATACTGGTGCGCCACAGCAACACTTCACACATATATCCCTTACCTCCATCACTACCAAGGCTGCATCTACCTACATGTATTGACGGCTACTACTGTTGTTGCTATTCTGCTGTTGTATGTAAAGTAAAAGGACACAAGTGCAACTAATGTGACATTTATTGTGGCAACGTTTCGCTCTCCAGGAGCTTTATCAAGCCATTACAAACAATACATGGACACAGAGGGTATATGGTACCTCACTAGTATTCACCTCACTCTGAGCCTTTATATACCCTCTGTGTCCATGTATTGTTTGTAATGGCTTGATAAAGCTCCTGGAGAGCGAAATGTTGCCACAATAAATGTCACATTAGTTGCACTTGTGTCCTTTTACTTTACATATTGTCGGTAATTCTACCAACTTTATTACTATATTCTGCTGTTGTTCTGCTGCTGATGCTAGTATTATATTACTGAAAATATAGAAAGCCAACAACTTGATGAACAAGACACGTGTGTAACACGTGTTTGTATTTACCTGTGACAGAAAAAAAAGCCTGCTGGACAGGCGAAACGTTTCGCTAGTATAGTTGACGAATCCAGCTTAAACCAGACTGCCTCGCCATTCTCCACAACACACAGGTGCAGTTAACATGTGTTTATGGTCTTAATAAAGGCATCTATTGCCCCTCAGTGCACGGTGTTTACGGTGTTAATGATAGGAGATACACTTAGAGTATCTTCACTAGATGAGTTTGTGTCCGGGGACCAGAGTGACTTTCTTGTGGTGTTATTACCTTCATGAGAGTTGTAAATCTGCGCCAACCTTCACATGAGGTGGAAAAGAAGGAAATTTTGTTAAAACATATTCGTTGTTCCTCGTTATTATCGACGTTTCTGTGAAGGAATACGTTTAGAATGCAGTATCTGGAACAATTCCTAACTAATCCACAATACCGTGGTAGAAGTAGTTCAGTGTTTTGGCTGCAACAATTCACAAATAAGGACAGCGTTTCGGTCCGTCCCGAAAATTTAGTTACCATCATCAGGATTTACATAAGAACAGACGAAACGTATGAGTGGAGAAATATGTCAGACGGCTTTGTAGATGAATGGTTCAGAGAACCGACATGTTGATAAATTAGACACATGTGCAACTCTTGGGTATCTTTATTGAGGAAACGTTTCGCCACACAGTGGCTTCATCAGTCCATACGTAGGAGAAACCTGAAGAACAGGAGGAGAATGAGGTAATCAGTCCCTCAACCTTGAGTCGATGTGTTCAGTCCATCAATCTTGAATAGGTATTCTGTTCTTGAATAGGTATTCTATTCAAGATTGATGGACTGAACACATCGACTCAAGGTTGAGGGACTGATTACCTCATTCTCCTCCTGTTCTTCAAGTTTCTCCTACGTACGGACTGATGAAGCCACTGTGTGGCGAAACGTTTCCTCAATAAAGATACCCAAGAGTTGCACATGTGTCTAATTTATCAATATCAGACGGCTACTGGACCAAACTAGGCAGGTCTAACTCACAATCTCACCCACCCGCACCCACTCATATACTTGTCAAACCTGGTTTTAAAGTTATCCCAGGATCACGCCCTAATGACGTTACTCGGAAGTTTGTTCCACTCATCTACAACTCTGCTGTCAAGTCATTACTTAGATCCACATATATCCAGTTGGAATCCTCTGCTGCGAGTCCTCTCTTGGTTGAATATTTTCACCGCGTTATTTATATCCCTTTTATTTATTCCAGTTTTTCATTTGTACACTTTGGTCACATCTCCCCAAATTTTGCACCTTTCCAGAGAGTACAGATACAGTACCCGAAGCCAGTCTTCGTAGGAAAAAGTTGTGATATCAACTCCTTACTCCTCCTCCGTATATTTTTCAGCGCATTAATGTCCATTCTGTAATATGGAGACCATAAGTGACAATACATTCTAAACAAGACCTTACCAGGGACATATAATGTTGAAGTACAACCTGAGAGCTTCCATTGTTTATGTTACTTAATGTGAAGCCAAGTATCTAACAGCTTTATTTGCGAAAACACTAATGCGCTGTTGTCTTGGTCTGGAATTACTGCCAACCAGAACTTCTAAAGCCTTATCGCATTCAGTTTGCTCGAGATCTACAATATTTACTTGTTAGTCTCCATAGGTATTTACTTTCTGGAACCAAAACATTGCACTTCACAACCTTCCAGCAACACTTGAGGACAATGGGCCAATAAAAAGATTACGGGAGTTCGTTTTATATCTTATGTAAAATATATATGAAATATTTAGGTATCTTAATTGACGATTTAAATATATGATTCCATATTTTACTGCCATCATCATATATTCCGTCTCATTGCAGGCGTGTTGGCAGTTGTTATAGGCGTGGTGGCGTGGCTGTGGCAGGCGTGGTTCGGCTCATCAGTGGGTGTGGTACATAAGGCTGACCCTATATATGACTTTATCATCGTGGGCGGCGGCACTGCAGGCAGTGTAATAGCTGCAAGACTGAGTGAAGAGCCAGAGTACAAGATCCTCCTGATAGAGGCCGGGGGAGAGGAACCCTGGCTCTCTAAAATCCCTCTAGCTTCTCCGCTCTTGCAGAAGTCTCGCTTCGACTGGCAGTACCTGTCAGTGCCTCAAGAGCTGTCCTCCCAGGGTCTTATAAACAAGGTGAGTGCCGGAAAAAGACAGTACAATGCGATCCTTTATGACGCCGTTTCGGCCCCCTACAATGAGGGCGAAACGTTGTCAATAGAAGATCGCATTATACTGAATTTGCTTCTTTTCCATCGTGTCAGTTTTTTATACCACTTCTCTTCAGGGTCGGTGGAGGAATCCACAACTAACCCGTGGACTAAAGCTCTCGCTTCACATGGTGAGGGTCCGGGTTCAATTCAGAAACATTGCCCAACTATAAATTTCAATTTAAGATTGATACAATGTGTTGCAGTGCGGAGGGTCACTGGAGCTGTGATGACTGTGCGCCCCTGCCAAGACAGTTGTTGAACGACAGACGATAAATGTGCTTTCTAATTTTCTTGTGCTCATCCTGACCTGGTGGCTCCTCTGTGAACCTGACTGCAACAAGAGTACACAAATAACCCGCACATGGGAGAAAGAGGCTCATGACGACGTTATGGTCAGACTTGGACTATTGACTAGTCACTATGGACTAGTGAATAGTCCAAGTCGGACCAAAATGTCGTCACAAGCTTCTGTCTCCTGTGTGTTAGTTATTTCTGTATTGTTCCAGTGACGGTATTGTACCTTTTTGTTCTTTGCAACAAGAGTGTGACGATGCTGCTTCTCTCTTGAATTACCACAGCAATCATCATGGCCCCGGGGCCGCATGCTGGGTGGGACGGGTTCCATCAACTTCAACATCCACATGTTCGGCTCACCTCAGGACTTCCAGGTGTGGGAGCAGGAGTACGGAGCTGAGGGATGGGACTTCCAGCAAATGAAGAAATACGCCAACAAGGCTGAGTGTCGCAGACTTAGGCCTAAGATCTTCAAGGTGGGCAGGAAATTTTTTTTTTCTTCTTGTAAGACATGTGTCACACTTGGGTGTCATTGTTGACGAGACGACACGTAGCTGATGCATATGAGTGACACGTGTGATCACTGACGAAACGACACCTAGGTGATGCACGTGTGTGATACTTAGGTGCCATTGACAACTTAGGTGTCATTGAAGAAACAACACCTACGTGATGCATATGTGCGACACTTAGGTGCCATTGACGAAACGACACCTAGGGGACGCACATGTATCTCGCTTATCAACGTGACGTTGGTGAAGAGTTCTTGATACACGGAACTGAAACTGCCTTTCCAGTTCCCTAAACATTGTATAATCCTTACTTGTTTAGCGCTTCTCAGTGTTTATTAGGCATCACTCAAGGCGGACCTTTAAATGGATGCTTTATTTTTTCTTGATTTTTTTATATTCCTTCAAGTGTTCGATTTTATTTTGCTCACAACTCCAGAACGCCTCATCCGGTTGGATTCAAATTTCGAAGTCTTGCGTACGGTAACGAGAAGTAGATTCCAGAGAAATCTGTCATGTGCAGGTGCCCTACGACCAAAGTTATTAAACACAATTCCATCATCCTGGAAAGGCTGGGAAAACTTACTTAAAGCCTCTCAGCAGCATGGCTTCAAACCTTTTAGAAAACTGACTCCTGATTCGACGGCGGTGGAGAGTGAAATCCATTGTGTACGTATGTGTAGAGTTAACCATTTTAAGTTAATTTGTGTGAAATTTTTATTCCAGCAGCCCAGGACTGGGCCAGTGGGTCGACCACTCCACTACGGTAGTTCTGCATGTGATGAGAATACGTTAATAGAAGACGTTAAGCTTACCACGTTAAACTTACGATGTTAAATTTGCAACGTTAGATTTACGGCATTAGACTTATGACTTTAGATTTAACACATTAGACTTTCACTGGTAGTCTGACGACGTTACAATTTCGACTGTCTTCAAACTTAATGTGCTGGTGTATTTTAGGATGTTGGTCCCTCTCAAATAACAAGAACATTTCTCATTAGTGTGTTTTCAAAGCAGTGTTTATTAGTGGAAGTTTTTAATTGATTTAAGTCTGTATATATCCTAATTTGTCACTTCTATTGAAAAAGGGGATATCAGGGTCCATGTGACATCTTGCCAACACAAAATCCAGTTTTGCTTCAGATCTTCAACTCTAATACTTAACTGCGCTGTAAACATATGCCACACTCTGCACTAATCTTTTTGCATGCATTGAGGTACAGGAGGCTGGAGTTATGCAATATGAGGATACCTTTCTCAGATAGCACAGTGACCAATGCATGACTAGTTATACCGACTTATTACTCTGAAATTTGCAACAGGAGCAATGCAGCAACGAGCAAGTTGAGAAGGGGCGGAAAGGCTGCAACAGCAGCAACAAGGAGGAGAGTAAGACAGGTTCAACACACGTAAGACAGCATCAAGACGCTGTTCAGTGCTACCATCCAGCACTACGCGTTCACACCTCGGACTCCATCCTCTCAGACACCTTCCTAGATGCTGGGAGGGAGTTAGGTCAGTGCCATCCCTTCTTCTATCAGGTTAGTGCCACGCCTCTCTTCGTCAGGTCAGTGACACATCTTCCTCCGTCAGGTCAGTGGGAAAATACACTGGCCACTCATTAGGGAAACAACAGATTCTTGACTCACTGTGATAGACTACTATAATCAACTCAGATAACATGATATTTGAAGTAACAGAACGACTATAATAAATTGGTAACCAATACTCAATAAAAATATATGTTTTCTGAGTTGCACGTTTTGTGTGTTTGTGTAGAGAGAGGCAGAGCAGGCAACTTTTATGAAATTTCAGGAAAAAAAGAGAACACCAAGAGACTAGGAAAGTGGTAATGGCATGAAAATTTACTCTCTGCAAGGCCATCAGTCACCTCTCACTGCACCAGGAAAAAGTTGAGTTGGGTTGGAAGATTTTACGACCTGTCAACCGCCAGGATCATTCATAAAGTGTAGGTTACTATCCACCTAAACACTAACATTAAGTGTCATAACAATAATGGTGCACAGTACCGACGCGATGAGGAATTACACACATGTAATATACGTATATATATATAAATATATATATATATATATATATATATATATATATATATATATATATATATATATATATATATATATATATATATATATTATATATATTTTTTATATATATATATATATATATATATATATATATATATATATATATATGTATTCACCTATATGTGGTTGCAGGGATCGATTCATAGCTCCTGGCCCCGCCTCTTCACTGGTCGATACTAATTCATTCTCTCCCTACTCCATGATCTTTGTCATACCTCTTCTTAAAGCTATTTATGGAACTTGCTTCAACTACTTCACTCTCCAGATTATTCCACTTCCTGACAACTCTAAGGCTAAAGAAATACTTCCTAACATCCCTATGACTCATCTGGATTTTCAGCTTCCAATTGTAGCTCCTCGTTCCTGTTTCCCATCTCTGAAACATTCGATCCCTGTCCATCTTGTCAATGCCTCTCAGTATTGTGTGTGTGTGTGTGTGTGTGTGTGTGTGTGTGTGTGTGTGTGTGTGTGTGTGTGGTGTGTGTTGTGAGTGTGTGTGTGTGTGTGTGTGTGTATGTGTGTGTGTACTCCCTCACCTAATTCACCTAATTGTGGTTGCAGGGGTCGAGACTCAGCTCCTGGCCCCGCCTCTTCACTGATCGCTACTAGGTCCTCTCCTCTCTGCTTCCTGAGCTTTGCCATACCTCTTCTTAAAACTATGTAAGGTTCCTGCCTCCACTACTTCACTTACTAGGCCTATTCCACTTCCTGACGACTCTATGACTGAAGAAATACTTCTAACGTCCCTGTGACTCGTCTGAGTCTTCAGCTTCCAGTTGTGACCCCTTGTTTTTGTGTCCCCTCTCTGGAACATCCTATCTCTGTCCACCTTGTCTATTCCCCGCAGTATCTTGTATGTCATTATCATGTCTCCCCTGACCCTTCTGTCCTCCAGTATCGTCAGTCCGATTTCCCTCAACCTTTCCTCGTACGACATTCCCCTGAGCTCTGGGACTAGCCTTGTTGCAAACCTTTGTACTTTCTCTAACTTCTTGACGTGCTTGACCAGGTGTGGGTTCCAGACTGGTGCTGCATACTCCAGTATGGGCCTAACATACACAGTGTAGTGTCTTGAACGATTCCTTATTAAGGTATCGGAACGCTATTCTCAAGTTTCCCAGGCGCCCGTATGCTGCAGCAGTTATTTGGTTGATGTGTGCCTCGTGACGTGCTCGGTGTTATGGTCACCCCCAAGGTCTTTCTCCCCGAGTGAGGTCTGTAGTCTTTGTCCACCCAGCCTATACTCTGTCTGCGGTCTTCTTTGCCCCTCCCCAATCTTCATGACTTTGCATTTTGGGAGGATTGAATTCGAGAAGCCAGTTTCTGGACCACATGTCCAGCTTGTCCAGGTCTCTTTGCAGTCCTGCCTCACCCTCATCCGATTTAATTCTTCTCATCAACTTCACATCATCTGCGAATAGGGACACTTCAGAGTCTATTTCCTTTCCCTCATGTCGTTCGCATATATTTAAAATAGCACTGGTCCTAGAACTAACCCCTGTGGGACCCTGCCCCTGTGGGACCCCGCTCGTCACAGGTGCCCACTGTGATACCTCTTCACGTACCATGACTCGTTGCTGCCTCCCTGTCAGGTATTCCCTGATACATTGCAGTGCCCTCCCTGTTATATGCACCTGATCCTCCATCTTCTGTGTGTGCGTGTGTGTGTGTGTGTGTGTGTGTGTGTGTGTGTATGTGTGTGTGTATATGTATCAGTAGTAGTACCAGTTCCTAGTAACCAGTTACCAGTAGCCAGTGTACCAGTAGATGACTCACTACCAACCGTCTGTGTGAATCACTGACTGTTATTCATGTTGCTGCTGACCATAGCATGATTTCAAACACCGCTCTCCCTGTAGGCACTGGTGAGTCAGTCTAAGATAGGGAGCAGAGAGAGGTAGGTCGGCTGTTGGCGCTGCCCATACTTCCCGTTATATATTATACGTACTACCAGCCTACGTGAGTATTTTTAGCCCATCCACATAATCGAACCCACATGACATATGTGTGTGTGTGTGTATGTATGTGTTAGTTAGTTGTCATTTTGTCCTAGGCACATGTCGATTAGACACTAGGCCTGTGTGTGTGTGTGTGTGTGTGTGTGTGTGGTGTGTGTGTGTGTGTGTGTGTGTGTGTGTGTGTGTGTGTGTGGTGAGTGTGTGGTGTGTGTGTGTGTACTCACCTAATTGTACTCACCTAATTGTGGGTTGCAGGGGTCGAGACTCAGCTCCTGGCCCCCGCCTCTTCACTGATCGCTACTGGATCCTCTCTCTCCTCGCTTCCTGAGCTTTGTCATACCTCTTCTTAAAACTATGTATGGTTCCTGCCTCCACTACTTCACTTGCTAGGCTATTCCACTTGCTGACAAACTCTATGACTGAAGAAATACTTCCTAACGTCCCTGTGACTCGTCTGAGTCTTCAGCTTCCAGTTGTGACCCCTTGTCCCTGTGTCCCCTCTCTGGAACATCCTATCTCTGTCCACCTTGTCTATTCCCCGCAGTATCTTGTATGTCGTTATCATGTCTCCCCTGACCCTTCTGTCCTCCAGTGTCGTCAGTCCGATTACCCTTAACCTTTCCTCGTACGACATTCCCTTGAGCTCTGGGACTAGCCTTGTTGCAAACCTTTGTACTTTCTCTAACTTCTTGACGTGCTTGACCAGGTGTGGGTTCCAGACTGGTGCTGCATACTCCAGTATTGGCCTAACATACACAGTGTACAGTGTCTTGAACGATTCCTTATTAAGGTATCGGAACGCTATTCTCAGGTTTGCCAGGCGCCCGTATGCTGCAGCGGTTATTTGGTTGATGTGTGCCTCCGGTGATGTGCTCGGTGTTATGGTCACCCCAAGGTCTTTCTCCCTGAGTGAGGTCTGTAGTCTTTGTCCACCTAGCTATACTCTGCCTGCGGTCTTCTTTGCCCCTCCCCAATCTTCATGACTTTGCATTTGGCTGGATTGAATTCGAGAAGCCAGTTACTGGACCACATGCCAGCCTCTCCAGGTCTCTTTGCAGTCCTGCCTCATCCTCGTCCGATTTATTCTTCTCATCAGCTTCACGTCATCTGCGAACAGGGACACTTCAGAGTCTATTCCTTCCATCATGTCGTTCACTATATATCAAAAATAGCACTGGTCCTAGAACTGACCCCTGTGGGACCCCGCTCGTAACAGGCGCCCACTGTGATACCTCTTCACGTACCATGACTCGTTGCTGCCTCCCTGTCAGGTATTCCCTTATCCATTGCAGTGCCCTTCCTTTTACGTGTGCCTGATCCTCCAGCTTCTGCACTAATCTCTTGTGGGGAACTGTGTCAAAGGCCTTCCTGCAGTCTAGGAAACGCAATCTACCCAACCCTCTCTCTCGTGTCTTACTTCTGTTACCTTGTCATAAAACTCCAGGAGGTTTGTGATACAAGATTTGCCTTCCATGAACCCATGCTGGTTTTCATTTATAATCTTGTTCCTTTCCAGGTGTTCGACCACTCTCCTCCTGATAATCTTCTCCATGACCTTGCACACGATACATGTCAGAGACACAGGTCTGTAGTTTAGTGCCTCGTTTCTGTTTCCTTTCTTAAATATGGGGACTACATTAGCTGTCTTCCATTTCTCAGGTAGTTGCCCAGTTTCAAGGGATGTGTTGAAGATTGTGATTAGAGGCACACACAGCATCTCTGCTCCTTCTCTAAGGACCCATGGGGAGATGTTGTCCGGTCCCATCGCCTTTGAGGTGTCAAGGTCACTTAAGAGCTTCTTCACCTCCTCCTCAGTTGTTCGTATGTCATCCAACACTTGTTGGTATATTCCCTCTTGATGTTCCCTTCTGTTCTGTCTTCCCACAGCCCTTCCTGTCTCTACTGTAAAAACTTCCTTGAATCTCCTGTTCAGCTCCTCACATACCTCCTGATCATTTCTTGTGAGTTCTCCACCTTCTGTCCTTAATTGATCACCTGGTCTTTGACTGTTGTCTTCCTCCTGATGTGGCTATACAACAGTTTCGGGTCAGTCTTGATTCTCGATGCTTTGTCATTTTCATACTGTCGCTGGGCCTCCCTCCTTACCTGTGCGTACTCATTCCTGGCTCTGCGACTGATCTCCCTATTTCGTGTGTTCTCTGCCTTCTGTACTTTTTCCATTCTCTATTGCACTTTGTTTTTGCCTCCTTACACCGTCGGGTGAACCAGGGGCTTGTTCTGGTCTTCCCGTTGTTACTGTTGCCCTTGGGAATGAACCTTTCCACTGCCTCCTTGGCATTTTGTTGCTACATATTCCATCATTTCATTTACTGGCTTTCCTGCAGTTCTCTGTCCCACTGGACCTCCCGCAGGAAGTTCTTCAACCCTATGTAGTCCCCTATTTTATATAGTCAGGTTTTTTCCCATTCTACTCCTGTTATTCTCTCCACTTGCAGCTCTACTATGTATTCAAAGCACAGAACCACGTGGTCGCTAGCTCCTAGGGGACTCTCATACTTGATGTCCTCAATGTCTGAGCTGCCCAGGGTGAACACAAGGTCCAATCTTGCTGGTTCATCCTCCCCTCTCACTCTGGTAGTGTCCTTAACATGTTGGTGCATGAGGTTTTCCAGCACCACGTCCAACATCCTGGCTCTCCATGTTTCGGGACCCCCATGTGGCTCCAGGTTTTCCCAGTCAATCTCCCTGTGGTTGAAATCCCCCATAACCAGCAACTTTGCTCTGCTGGAGTGAGCTCTTCTTGCCACCTCAGCAAGTGTGTCCACCATTGCTCTGTTGCTCTCTTCATATTCCTCTCTTGTGTGTGTGTGTGTGTGTGTGTGTGTGTGTGTTGTGTGTGTGTGTGTGTGTGTGAGTGTAGTGTGTGTGTGTGTGTGTGTGTGTGTGTGGTGTGTGAGTGTGTGTGTGTTGTGTGTGTGTGTGTGTGTGTGTGTGTGTTTTGTCAGACAGTGGTTTTATCAGTTCAATATTATTATTATTATTATTATTATTATTATTATTATTGTTATTATTATTATACTATCATCATCATTATTATAATAATAATAATAATAATTATTAATATTATTATTATCATCATTATCATTAGTAGAAGTAGTAGTAAGTAACAGTTGTAGAAGTTTTATTATTATTATTATTATTATTATTATATTATTATTATTATTATTATTATTATTATTATTATTATTATTATATTATTATATTATTATTATTATTATTATTATTATATTATTATTATTATTATTATATTATTATTATTATTTATATTATTATTATTATTATTATTATTTATTATATTATTATTATTATTATTATTATTAATTATTATTATTATTATTATAATTATTATCACCCTGCAGGCCTGCCAGTGGGTAACCTCAATGACGATATAGACCACGGAGTGATGGCAGCAGAGACCATGGTCTACAAGGGCCAGCGGTGGAGCACAGCCGCGGGCTACCTCAGACCAGCCCTGGGAAGACCAAACCTCCACGTCCTCCTCCACTCCCACGTCAATAAAGTACACACTCCTGTTTAAACTATATTTTTTAATGGGGGGGGGGGTGGACGGGTAAGCCAGCGGAAGGCCTCAGTCAGATGACCAAAACCAGCTGCGGGCTCATCATATGACTAAGACCCGCGTTAGGAAACACTTGTCCTGTTTCCTGACGAACCTGTCTAACCTACTCCCACGTTAATAGAGTTCTCACTCCCACAGTAAAGTTCTCACTCCCACAGCAAAGTGCTCACTCCCACAGCAAAGTGCTCACTCCCACAGCAAAGTGCTCACTCCCACAGTAAAGTGCTCACTCCCACAGTAAAGTGCTCACTCCCACAGTAAAGTGCTCACTCCCACAGTAAAGTGCTCACTCCCACAGTAAAGGCTCACTCCCACAGTAAAGTGCTCACTCCCACAGTAAAGTGCTCACTCCCACAGTAAAGTGCTCACTCCCACAGCAAAGTGCTCACTCCCACAGTAAAGTGCTCACTCCCACAGTAAAGTGCTCACTCTCACAGTAAAGTGCTCACTCCCACAGCAAAGTGCTCACTCCCACAGTAAAGTTCTCACTCCCACAGTAAAGTGCTCACTCCCACAGCAAAGTGCTCACTTCCACAGTAAAGTGCTCATTTCCACAGTAGAGTGCTCACTCCCTCAACTGAACAATCTTCCTGCTAGTCCCTCCCAAGTCTTCCTTCTTTATCTCTATGTAAACTCCACCCCTCTATACCTTTCTTTTTATTCTGTAGCATAGTCTACCGTGAGTATACACTGCTAGGGTATACCAGGCACCTTCCACTTGGTTGGTGAATGAGATTTAAAGCCTATCGACTACACTGGGGTCATTTAGACTGGTAACATCCTCAGCTCACACACTGAAGTGCCTGGAATCGATCCCCGGACCGGGTGAAACATTGGTCATGTTTCCTTACATGTGCTGCCCCTGTTCACCTAGAAGTAGGTACCTGGGTGTTAGTAGAATGTTGTAGGAGGCATCCTGGGTACAAGATTTATCTAAGTTGCCAGAAATGCTCTACATAACCAGGGACTTTTTATACAGTATATCAATAATGTCAGCTAGATTTGTATCACTTGCATCATATACTTGTAGAAACAAAGATTATTATTATTATTATTATTATTATTATTATTATTATTATTATTATTATTATTATTATTATTATTATTATTATTATTAATCCCTGAAAGGGATAAAATTAAACTCTCTGTAAATATTCGCTGAGAGAAATATACCATTCGGTATACATGGAGTATACCTAGAAAGGGTTTCGGGGGTCAACGCCCCGCAACCCGGTCTGTGACCAGGCCTCATGATGGATCAGGGCCTAATCAACCAGGCTGTTACTGGTGGCCGCACGCAACCCGTAGTACGAACCACAGCCCGGCTAGTCAGGTACTGACTTTAGGCGCCTGTCCAGTGTCTGCTTGAAGACAGTCAAGGGTCTATTAGTAATCCCCTTATGTATGCTGGGAGGCAGTGGAACAGTCTAGGGCCCCCTCACAATTATTGTGTTGTTTCTTATCCTGCTAGTGGCGCCTGCTTTTCATTAGGGGGATGTTGCATCGTCTGCCGAGTCTTTTGCTTTCATAGGGAGTAATTTTCTTGTACAATGTTGCTACTAATCTCTAGGATTTTTCAAGTGTATATAATCCTGTATCTCTCCCGCCTGAGTTCTAGGGAGTACAGGTCGAGGAATTTCAAACGTTCCCAGTAATTTAGGTGTTTTATCGGACTATGTGTGCCGTGAACGTTCTCTGTACATTTTCTAGGTCAGCAATTTCACCTGCCTTGAAACATGCTGTTAGTGTGCAGCAGTATTCCAGCCTTGATAGAACAAGCTTCCTGAAGAGTGTCATCATGGGCTTGGCATCCCTAGTTTTGAAGGTTCTCATTATCCATCCTGTTATTTTTCTAGCAGATGCGATTGATACAGTGTTGTGGTCAATGATGGTGAGAACCTTACATTATCACTCCCAGGTCTTTTACATTAGTTTTTCGCTCTATTGTGTAATTGGAATCTGTTTTATACTCCGATACAGTTTTAATTTCCTCACGTTTTTCATATCAGAATAATTGAAATTTCTCATCATTGAACTTCATATTGTTTTCTGTAGCTCATTTAAATATTTGGTTGATGTCCGCCTGGAGTCTTGCAATGTCTTCATTGGAGGGCACTGTCATACAAATTCGGGTGTCATCTGCAAAGGAAGACACCGTGCTGTGGCTTACCTCCCTGTCTGTCAGATATGAAAACGAGGAATAGGATGGGAAAGAGTTTACCTGGAGTTTACCTGGAGAGAGTTCCGGGGGTCAACGCCCCCGCGGCCCGGTCTGTGACCAGGCCTCCTGGTGGATCAGAGCCTCATCAACCAGGCTGTTACTGCTGGCTGCACGCAAACCAACGTACGAGCCACAGCCCGGCTGGTCAGGAACCGACTTTAGGTGCTTGTCCAGTGCCAGCTTGAAGATTGCCAGGGGTCTGTTGGTAATCCCTCTTATGTATGCTGGGAGGCAGTTGAACAGTCTCGGGCCCCTGACACTTATTGTATGGTCTCTTAACGTGCTAGTGACACCCCTGCTTTTCATTGGGGGGATTTTGCCTCGTCTGCCAAGTCTTTTGCTTTCGTAGTGAGTGATTTTCGTGTGCAAGTTCGGTACTAGTCCCTCTAGGATTTTCCAGGTGTATATAATCATGTATCTCTCCCGCCTGCGTTCCAGGGAATACAGGTTTAGGAACCTCAAGCGCTCCCAGTAATTGAGGTGTTTTATCTCCGTTATGTGCGCCGTGAAGGTTCTCTGTACATTTTCTAGGTCAGCAATTTCACCTGCCTTGAAAGGTGCTGTTAGTGTGCAGCAATATTCCAGCCTAGATAGAACAAGTGACCTGAAGAGTGTCATCATGGGCTTGGCCTCCCTAGTTTTGAAGGTTCTCATTATTCATCCTGTCATTTTTCTAGCAGATGCGATTGATACAATGTTATGGTCCTTGAAGGTGAGATCCTCCGACATGATCACTCCCAGGTCTTTGACGTTGGTGTTTCGCTCTATTTTGTGGCCAGAATTTGTTTTGTACTCTGATGAAATTTTAATTTCCTCGTGTTTACCATATCTGAGTAATTGAAATTTCTCATCGTTGAACTTCATATTGTTTTCTGCAGCCCACTGAAAGATTTGGTTGATGTCCGCCTGGAGCCTTGCAGTGTCTGCAATGGAAGACACTGTCATGCAGATTCGGGTGTCATCTGCAAAGGAAGGCACGGTGCTGTGGCTGACATCCTTGTCTATGTCAGATATGAGGATGAGAAACAAGATGTGGAACAAAGCTTTTCACCGTAGCTGCCTCGGACTTTGTTGACTATTACTCTTTGTGTTCTGTTTGTGAGGAAATTATAGATCCATCTACCAACTTTTCCTGTTATTCCTTTAGCACGCATTTTGTGCGCTATTACGCCATGGTCACACTTGTCGAAGGCTTTTGCAAAGTCTGTATATATTACATCTGCGTTTTGTTTGTCTTCTAGTGCATCTAAGACCTTGTCGTAGTGATCCAATAGTTGAGACAGACAGGAGCGACCTGTTCTAAACCCATGTTGCCCTGGGTTGTGTAATTGATGAATGTTACGTTGGTTTGTCCCTTATTACTTTGATAGTAAGGTTCTCACTACATGTTCTAGTGTGGGGTAGCTTTTACTTAATGGCCTTATCTGTCTAGGGGTAATACTTACATCATGGCTGATCATCTTGAGTGTCTCTGATACCCTTTCACCAGCCCTCTTCACAGGTTATGTAAACTACTACTATAAAAATATAACTGTATTCTCAATAGATATGTACAGAATATACAATCACAGCCTCCATTTTCAAAACAAAATCTACACACTCCATGCCTGTGCTCCACATGGTGTGTTGCAACAACTCTTGTCCTTCACTCTTCCTGACATAACTCTGGGCTAACCAGTGTTTTGACACACTTTAGTCACCCTGGGTATGGTGGCCAAAACTTAAATTATAAAAACTCACCCCTGGAGCACACATGATGCCCCAAAAGATAGGAGAAGGACCCAGAGATCCTGCCAGGTTGAAGGTCAGCCACAGAGAGAGGGAGTCAGTGAGAGGGAGAGAGAGAGAGAGAGAGCCTGGCTAAGCTCCTCCCACCAAAACAAAAGACTGTTGCCAAGCACAATTCTCCAGTTACCACAATTCTACCACACCTTAATTTTACTTTTACAAAAAGAAATACAACTTTATAATCTACTTATTTAAATTGTGTGTTTATGTGTCTATAGTATAACCTATTATATTGAGAAAAATAGGCTTGACCCAGCTGCCTCTCAGTCATAAGGTTGATCAGTCCTTCTGACATTTAGAGCAAAGTCCCCATCAATTCAATATAATTAGGTATTCCAGAGTAACTGTTATTTATAAATACATGTTGGGTCCTATAGCCCCATAACAATGAGTATCTAGATGGTTGGCTATCTAGCTTCTTAGGACCCTTTCAAAGATTTTTATGATATAGGACGTTAACGCTATCGGTCTGTAATTCTTTGCTATTGCTTTACTGCCACCTTTGTGGAGTGGAGCAATGTCTGTTGTTTTTAGTAACTGTGGGACGACCCCCGTGTCCATGCTCCCTCTCCATAGGATGTTAAAAGCATAAAAGTACATGATAGGTGCTTCTTGTAGTTCTTGATGAACACGAAATTCCATGAATCTGGGCCTGGGGCAGAGTGCATGGGCATGTCATTTATTGTATTTTCGAAGTCATTTGGCGTCAGGATAATATCAGATAGGTTTCAGTGTATCAAATTCTGTGTCTCGCTCGTAAAAAATATCATTTATTCACTCAGTGGCCACTTTATTAGGTACACATGTACACTCGCTCGTTAATGCAAATATCTAATCAGCCAATCACGTTGCAACGCCTCAGAGCCTAAAATCACGGTCAAGAGGTTCAACTGTTGTTTAGACTGAACATCAGAATGAGGAAGAAATGTGATCTAAGTGACTTTGACAGTGGAATGATTGTTGGTGCCAGACAGACGGGATGGTTTGAGTATCTCAGAAACTGCTGAACTCCTGGGATTTTTACACACAACAGTCACTTGCATTTACAGAGGATGGTATGGAAAACACAGAACATCTAGTGAGTGGCAGTTCTGTGAGCGAAATATCCTTGTTAATGATAGAGATCAGAGAAGAATGGCCAGACTGGTTCAAGCTGACAGGAAGGTTACAGTAACTCAAATATCCACACGCTACAGCAGAAGTATGTAGAAGAACATCTCTGAATGCATGATAATAGTAATATAATAATATTTTTATTTACTACAAGTACATGTACATGATATACAGTCCTAGCTGACATCAGTGACATACTACTATATAGAAAGCCCCTTGTTATGCTGAGCATTTCTGGCAATATTAGGTCATGTTCCAGGATGCGACCCACACCAGTCAACTAACTCCTGGGTACCCATTTTACTGATGGGTGAACGTAGACAACCGGTGTATAGAAACACGTCCAATGTTTCTACCCTCGCTGGAAACCGAACACAGACCCTCGCCGTGTGAAGGGAGAGCTTTAGCGACCAGGCCACGGGGCACTTCGAACCCTGAAGTGGATGGGCTACAGCAGCAGACCATACAGGGTTCCACTCCTGTCAGCTAAGAACAGGAAACTGAGACTACAGTGGGCACAGGGTTCTCCAAAACTGGACAGTTGAAGATTGGAAAAACGTTGCTTGGTTAGACGAATTACGATTTCTGCTGCGACATGCAGATGGTAGGTTCAGAGCTTGGTTTAAACCTTTGGGACGTGATGGACGGGAGGCTTGCCGATAAATCTGCAGTACCTGTGTGATGCTATCATGTCAACATTAACCAGGATCTCTAAGAAATGTTTACAGCACCTTCTTGAATCCATGCCACCAAGAATTCACGCTGTTCTGGGGGCAAAGGAAGACCCTACCAAGTACTAAAAGGGTGTTCCTAATAAAGTGGCTACTGAGTGTATATATCATGTGCTTATTTATATCCTTCAGTTTATTTTAAATTATCCAATGTCAAATATTTCTTCACAATTAGTTCTGTATGAAAAAATCTGCAGATTTGTTCTACTTTTTATTTATCTGTTGACTGCTAAATATCTCTAATTTTAAATAACTATTTTTTCAGTTCACGGTCAATACTTTCCAGATTTTGTGGGAGGGGAAACGTGCTGTTGGAGTGGAGTTCACACACTGGGACAACCCTCACATCAACAAGTCAGTGTACGCCAGAGGAGAGGTGATCCTCTCAGCTGGGGCGGTCAACACGCCTCACATACTCATGCACTCAGGGTGGGACCCAGCACTCTTCTCCACAAATTTAATGTAAATTAAACTTCTTGTTGTTGGACCTGTTATGGGGCCGCTACGGCAAGCGCCGCATTGAACCCTTCCTCCTCCCGGCTCTCAGGAGCTAGAGAATTCTCAAACACTTCATTGGTAATGATAATATTTGTGAAATATTGAGATTGTATCCACATTTTGCACATTAAGGCGACTCAACTAACTCAGTCACAGAAGGGCAGTAGGGGGTGTGGTATGTCCTGTAGGAGATGGAAGAGTCCAGAGGACTCTGGTCAGATATGTTGTAGGCAAGGAGTGGAAGCCACCGCTGAAGCTCTCTGACTCGTACAGAATCTGTGAGAAAAACTAAATTTGTCTTGGTAAAACTGTCGAAGGAAAGTAGCAAGTGTGTAGGTCTGCCACTCAAACAATTATATTGAGTCTAAGCTATTTGGGGAAAAGTCACTAAGCTAAATACCAGGAAATTTTTTCTCTGTAAGTGTCATGTTCTTAAATTGTTCTTATTATATTTCAGAAAAGCGCTCATCCATTGTGAGTCATTCCACTCATCTTCTCCTCAAACGATTTATTAATAATCTAAAAATGCCTTGAAATATTTTATTATAATGAGATACATATATATTTCCCAGCATCTCGATTACAAATAAAATAAAAATTGTACGCATTATTTTTCTCGTAGTTTGTTGTCCTGAAATTCATATTACACTCGACAACTCTCAGTTACTTGTCATGACATCTACGCCATCTCATGAAGTTTTATTTCTATTTACCTTTTTCACTGTCTTCTTAATCACTAAACAAAAAACAGCTGAAGAGACGATGCGATATGTCGTTGACAGTTTTACTCTCAGATGAACCTACCTACAGATTCCAGTAGTGTCTGTACTGGAGGGTGTAGGTGGCAACCTGCAGGACCACCTCTGCATGCCCGTGTATGTGTCCCTGGAGGAGGATGTCTCGCTCAACCCCGTCAAGCTGCGCACTGTATCTAATATTTGGAACTATTTCGTCAATGGTGGCAAAGGTAATAAATATAGTAACACATTCGCCGATTTTTTTTTTTTCACATAATTCACTTCACAGGCTGTCTCATTCCATCTCGTTACAGTCTTGCCTATCATTATCCACACTACCGCTATCCCTCCTATCCCCAGGATGTCACCTGTATCCCTCAACTGAGACCCAGATACCTAAAAATATTGCTTCATTTCGAATCTGGTTTCAAAATATAGGTTTACCGAGTGGTTAAGTAACTACTACTAATGTGGAAAATTGCATTTATCTGAATGTAACTAATTATGTACATAACAGTAAATGATAACAAAGATAATTATTGTTTATCAATGTTACATAGACAAGTAGGAATTTGGGACACCTAGGTCGCAAAAAATGTCCCCCTTCGATACCTACCACTGTCATAACCACAAGTTGCTCTGGACCTATTAATTAAATGAAATATACATACACCAGGAATACTGGTAAATATATAAATTTGTGGACTGTATATTAAAAATAATAAATGGTTATATATATATACACAATTACATAACAGAAGGAAAATATATCTTAATATCACTCACCAATTTGACTGGATATTAAGTTGTATCATACTCAGAAAACCTCACTCTAACTAAATCTATGAAAATAATGCTGGCCAGAATTACACACAAATCTAGAGAGCTTATCTGAGGTTCCTGGAGCTGTCTTGTCCAGTCGTCTGATATCTCAAGTTATGCAGGAATGCACATCCACCAATTTCGCCTCCTATTTGAGAGGTGTCAACACAATTTTAACCTCTAGAGCACGAAAAATTCTTCCCATTACACCAACGTTTGTACAAAATTCAAAACCAAGATGGCGAGTCTCTCGTCTGCGCAGACGCAGGCTTTCCGTTTTCTATGACATAAATATTATTAAATACAGTATGGCCATCTATTTACATATAAATACTGAATTTCTGGAAAATATATACAGTATTTTCCACAACTAACAAAAATTCAGCGTTTGGTCTTACGGATAAGTTAAACCACACAACCTACATTGTGTTAAGTTTTATTATTTTTTTTAAGTTTATTTAGTTGTGTTGACGTTGTCCTGCAGGTGACCTGGGTCGTGCAGCCATCGAAGGGATTGGTGTGATGCGCTTGGCCCATCAACAACCCGAGGTGGGTCTCATCCTCTTCAATATGGGAGCTGTGGACAAACATCTCTACGCGAGCGTTGAAAATATGGAACTGGACGTGAGTGCTCTTATGTGTGTGTGTGCGTATGTTTGTGTACTTTTTACAAATGCTATTAAAGTTTTGCTTATTGTGTTTAGTGTTAAAGCAGGAGGCGTGTCAATACAGAACTGTTCTTGTAGTGGAGGCAAAGACTACATAATGAGAGAGAGAGAGAGTTGATGTCAGTCTGAGGGAAAAATATTATTGATTATTATGATCATTGGGGGGCGCTAAACCCGTAGATTATACAGCGCATGTGGGGGGAGAGATGGAGCACAGATACAATTCCCTAGATCAAGAGCCCCTCACCAGCGTCAAGAACCCTCCCTTGAGGGGAAATATTGAAATCGTTACATTGATAATTAAGACGCATATGCAGCACATGGGTACCTTTACTGGCGTAACTTTTCGCTTGCACAGCAGACTTCTTCAGTCGAGGCAATACAAGAAGTAATTTCGAAGTGATTAATCTTTCAGCCTTGATAGGAGGTGCTCAGACACTTAACCTATCCGCATTGAATATCATCAGTAATATAAAATATTGCACTATCTTGCATATTTATGAGGAAGGGCTAAACCCGTAGGGTTCATACAGTGCCTGGGGAAATAGGAGTTAATCAAGTTTGTTTCAGGGAAGGATAGGATACCTTCAGTATTTCAGATCAAGAGTCCTTCACCAGAACGGTGACACTGAAGGACTCTCTCACTTTAATTTCAAGTGCTGGAATACGCACCCTAAATTTTCTGCTACTTAATGACGTAGCAGAAAATTCTTAATTATAATTTTCTGTTGTTTTTTTTTTTTATATTTTATTGAAAATACACTTCATTACAACAATGAACCCTGTAACCAAGGGTGAAAACAATTAAATCATAAAACATACAATGTTGCACCATACCGGCATACACAGTTTACCTAGAACAATATATATAACCATCGCAAATTCGTGTATCGTTTTTACATATATCTCATTGAGCAGTGCATAGGCCTATGAATATTATTATATCTGCATTCTGCAAGAAGTGCTTAACCTAGACTTATAAATTTAGAGAGATGCATCAGAGTTTCGTAAGTAATTATCTTTCCTTTTTATTTGCAGTAACAGAACGGTACAAACCTAATTTTTCAAACAACTGTTTTGCAGTATTTTGAAACCTTATGCACCAACATGGACAACCAGAGTGCTGCCGGCTTTATGTTCATGGCGTCGTGTTTACATCCAAAAAGCCGGGGCCGGATAGACATAGTCTCCAGTGACCCTCGCCACCCACCCTCCATTAACCCAGACTACCTGCGTCATCCTTATGATATGACCTGCATGAGAGATGGTGAGCCTCACTAGCTAGTGAACACACTCCTACACTACTCTTTGCAACTTAATAATAACATTATATTCCTATTATTTTAATTTTCATGGGGTAAGCTTAAACCAATGGCATCACAGGAGTCACGCTACGCCTGAGGAATGGGAAATAGTAACCAAGTTTGATGAAAGAAAAAGGAGAGTCAGAGTCAAAGATTTAAGGGGCACGTAAGTATCCCTGTCTTCAAATAACAATGTTCTATTGTTACAATATATTCTACCTTGTCCATAATTAATATCGCATTTGCTTTGTCTGTTTCGTAAGTTTAAGTCTATGTTCTTTCCTTAATTCATGGTATAACTTAACAAATCTTTGAGGACAATTGTGTTGTAGACGTCTGAGCAGAGCTCACACCTCTGCAACACAATTGTCTTCAAAGATTTGTTAAGTTATACCATGAATTAAGGAAAGATCCTGGACTTCACCTTACGAAACAGATAAAGTAAATGCGATAGTAATTATGGACAAGGTAGATTATAGTGGAAAACTCAACATGTTATTAGAAGACGGGGGAACTTACGTGCTTCTTAATTCCATATGATGCAATGTTCGTACTGAGATGGGTGACATTTGGTTGCACATAGAGAAAGACCATAGTTATGCAGAGCATTTCGAGCAAGCTTTGGCGAATAGATGGCAGGGTAATACCGACAAGTGTTTTTTTAAAGAGACGCTAGCAGCTTTTACCAAAGAGAGTGGCTTCGATTCTTGGCCTCAGAGCCCTGCACTAGCTAATACCATATTCACAAATAATATGAATGCAGAATACCGTGACTGAAACAACGCACAGATAACCCGCACATGGTTAGTTAGTTTAATATGTTTATTATGCACCCCATACCCATCCTGTGGGCGGTAGTCAAAAGATTACAGAGGTACATAATTGGTCCAGGGACTGGACTCCAAAGTTTTGATAGCTGAGCAAGTTACAGAGGTAATGAACTCACAATTTACAAAGGTAATGAACTCACAATTTACAAAGGTAATGAACTCCAGGATGGGAGAATGAAACTGAACGTTTCGCTCCGACTTGGACCATTAACTAGTCACAAGTCGTCATCAGTTTCATTCTCCTATGTGTGGGTTATTTGTGCATTGTTCCAGTCACGATATTGTCCCTTTTTGTTCTTTATAATATTAATTTATGCTTGTTTTTGTCTCTTTACCTTCAGCCTACAAGTTTGCGGTGCGCATGGTGCGTACGAATGCGTTCCAGAGCCTGGGTGCGTCCGTGCACTTACCACGCTTCCCGGAGTGTTTGGTGCGCACTAGTCAAGGTGGAGGAGTGGACGATGCAAGAGCGTTGTACCAAGAATATGTTTCCTGTATCATTCGTGTGGCGGCCATTAGTGGACACCATCCATTAGGGACAGCTCGTATCGGACGCAGAGGCGACCCTCTGGCAGTGGTCGACCCTCAACTCAAGTACATTAATATTGTTATTAATTAGTTTTAGCTATATTAACTATTATCATTATTAACAGCAGTAATAGAAGCAATAATAATAGTAGTTAGTAGCACATTATATATCTTATATTGATGCTGAGGTTGTCCAGACTCCATACATCTCATGAGCGCGCACGGGCACACACACACACACACACACACACACACACACACACACACACACACACACACACACACACACACACACACACACACACACACACACACACACACACACCCTGTTCGCAGATAATGTATACCTAACTTTCTAACTTATCGGCGAATTAAATCAGATGAGGATCAGGCAGGACTACGAAGAGATCTGGACAGGCTGGATACCTGGTCCAGCAACTGGCTTCTCGAATTCAACCCTGCCAAATGCAAAGTCATGAAGATCGGAGAAGGGCAAAGGAGACCGCAGACAGAGTATAAGCTAGGTGGCCAAAGACTGCAAACCTCACTCAAGGAGAAAGATCTTGGGGTGAGTATAACACCGAGTACGTCTCCGGAAGCACACATCAACCAGATAACTGCTGCAGCATATGGGCGCCTGGCAAACCTGAGATAAGCGTTTCGATACCTAAGTAAGGAATCTTTCAAGACACTACACCGGGTACGTCAGGCCCATACTGGAGTATACAGCACCACTTTGGAACCCGCACCGGGTCAAGCACGTTAAGAAATTAGAGAAAGTGCAAAGGTTTGCGACAAGGTTAGTTCCAGAGCTAAGGGGAATGTCCTACGAAGAAAGGTTAAGGGAAATCGGCCTGACGACACTGGAGGACAGAAGGATTAGGGGAGACATGATAACAACATACAAAATACTGCATGGAGTAGACAGGATGGACAGAGACAACATGTTCCAGAGAGGGGACACAGAAACAAGGGGTCACAATTGGAAGTTAAAGACCCAAATGAGTCAAAAGGATGTTGGGAAGTATTCAGTCACAGAGTAGTCTGGAAGTGGAATAGCCTAGCAAGTGAGGTAGTGGAGGCAGGAACCATACATAGCTTTAAGATGAGGTATGAAAAAGGTCATGGAGCAGGGAGAGAGGGGACCTAGTAGCACTCAGTGAAGAGACAGGGCCAGGAGCTGAGTCTCGACCCCTGCAACCACAATTAGGTGATTACACACACTGGAGAGTGAAGTAGTAGAGGCAGGATCCTTACATAGCTTTAAAAAGAGGTACGATAAGGCTCATGGAGCAGGGAGAGAGTGGACCTAGTAGCGACCAGTGAAGAAGCGGTGCCAAGAGCTGTGAATCGACCCCTTCAACCACACATAGGCGAGTACACATACAGTGAAGTGAAGAGGCTGCTAAGCGAGCTGGATACCTCAAAGGCGATGGGGCCAGATAACATCTCTCCATGGGTCCTGAGAGAGGGAGCAGAGGTGCTTTGTGTACCACTAACAACTATCTCCAATACATCTATCGAAACAGGGCGACTACTGGAAGTATGGAAGACAGCAAATGTAGTCCTAATTTTTAAAAAAGGAGACAGACACGAAGCATTAAACTACAGACCAGTGTCACTGACGTGTACACTATGCAAGGTCATGGAGAAAATTATCAGGAAAAAAGTGGTGGAGCACCTAGAAAGAAATGAGCTTATCAACGGCAGCCAGTGTAGTTTCAGGGACATGAAATCTTGCGTCACAAACGTACTGGAATTCTATAACAGGGTGATGGCAGTAAGACAAGAGAGAAAGGGGTGGGTAGATTGCATTTTCTTGGACTGTAAGAAGGCACTTGACACAGTCCCACACTACAGATTAGTGCAAAAGCTGGAGGACCAGGCATTGATAACAGGGAAGGCACTGCAATGGATCAGGGAATACCTGTCAGGAAGACAACAGAGAGTCATGGTATGCAGCGAGGTGTCAGAGTGGGCGCCTGTAACGAGTGGGTTGTCACAGGGATCAGCCCTAGGACCGGTGCTGTTTCTGGTATATGTGAACAACGACATGACAGAAGGAATAGACTCTGAAGTGTCCATTTGTGGATGATATGAAGTTGATGAGAAGAGTTCAATTGGACGAGGACCAGGCAGAACTACAGAGGGATCTAGACAGGCTGCAGGCCTGGTCCAGCAACTGGAGTTCAACCCCACCATGTGCAAAGTCATGAAGACTGGGGAAGGGCAAAGAAGACCACAGATGGAGTACAACCTAGAGGGCCAGAGCCTACAAACCTCACTCAAGGAAAAGGATCTTGGGATGAGTATAACACCAGGCTCATCTCTGAGGTGCACACCAACCAAATAACTGCTGCAGCATACGGGCACCTGGCACACCTAAGAACAGCATTCCAACATCTAAATAAGGAGTCATTCATGACCCTGTACACTGTGTACGTTAGGCCCATACTGGAGTATGCGGCACCAATTTGGAACCCTCATCTACCCAAGCATGTGAGGAAACTAGAGAAAGTGCAAAGGTTTGCAACAAGACTAGTCCCGGAGCTAGACGTCCTGTGAGGAGAGGTTAAGGGAAATCGACTTGACAATATATATGATAACAATATATGATAATATATAAAATACTGAGAGGACTCGACAAGGTGGATAGAGAAAGGATGTTCCAGAGATGGGACACAGCAACAAGGGGTCACAGTTGGAAGTTCAAGACTCAGATGAACCACAGGGATGTTAGGAAGTATTTCTTCAGTCACAGAGTTGTCAGGAAGTGGAATAGCCTGGGTAGTGATGTAGTGGAGGTAGGATCCATACATAGCTTTAAGAAGAGGTATAATAAAGCTCATGAAGTGGGAAGAGTGACTTAGTAGCGGCAAGTGAAGAGGCGGGGCCAGGAGCTGTGACTCGACCCCTGCAACCACAACTAGGTGAGCATGCACACACACACACAGAGAGAACTAAAGGCCAGTGTCACTAACATGCAGTACGAATGTAACCCTAAACCTGGGCAAAGAATTATCAAAAGAATAGTGGAGCACTTAGAAAGGTTCAGATTCATAAACAAAAACCAGCACGGTTTGTGAGATGGTAAATCCTGTCTCATAAACCTGCTATAGTTCTATGAGAAGGACCACCCACAGGATGGGTAAAAAGTGCCTAATAAAGATAATAAACTTACTATAAGACGGTATCAAAAGTTAATACAGAAGAGAGAGAGGGATGGATGGACTTTATATATTTCTGAACTACAAGAATGCGTTCGATAGTTACCCGCAAGAGGCTGGAAGACGAGCTAGAGCAGCAGGATTCACCAGTCTACCTCTTTAAAAATTAAGGTTAAATTTACAACTATTTGGTTCTTGAGTAGTCGAGAGGTAGGAACAGCCACAACTAGTTAAGAACATAATATCAAGTTATATAATAGCCAGCATATTATTTTTAACGTCCTCCTCCCCCTTTGCACACCAAATAATAAGTGTATATCAAATTGTCACTGAAACACTTTTCTCTGGCCAGAGTGATAGGCACAGAGCGTGTGAGGGTGGTGGATGCTTCAGTCATGCCGACACAAATCTCAGGAGTACCCAACTCTGCCATCACTGTTATAGCAGAGAAAGCCTCAGATCTTATCAAAGTAAGTTCCTTCTTTTAATTGTCATCACACACACACACCTGTTTTTAAAACCTTCACCCAACACTAATACTTCCAGCAGGTCTGCAGTGTTATTACATTCACATTTTTTGCCCAGGTTTAGGGTTACACTCGTATAGAGTTGTTACTTCATGTATTAACGTATCTGTGGTTCCAGAGATTGAGTGCTAGCTCCTGGCACTGGCTGCTACTGGATTCACTCCTTCCTCACTTTATGAGCTGTATCATAGCTAATCTCAACCTTATAGCTCCAGCATTTACTACTACTCTGTACAGTGCATTCCATTTCCTGACCACTCAGCCTTAAAATAATACTTTTATTTATTTATTTATTTATTTATTTATTTATTTCTGACATCTTCCCGTTTCATGTGTGCTTTTAGCTTCCGATTCTTACCACATGTACCTATTTCTCACCTCTAGGAATTTTTATTGACCTAAGACAAGCTTTTGACACAGTAGACCACGGCATCCTACTCCACAAACTTGACCATTATGGTATAAGAGGCCATGCGCTTGCATATTTCAAATCTTACCTTACTAATAGGTATCAGTATGTCACCATTAAAGACACAGCATCAACAACACGGCCACTTGATACTGGAGTTCCACAGGGAAGTGTCCTTGGTCCCCTGCTCTTCCTCATATACATCAATGAACACCTGAACCCCGTTCTCTTTGCTGACGACACGACTTATGTCATCTCTCACCCTAATCTTGCCACCCTCAACACCATTGTTAACGAGGAGCTGATCAAAATATCGACTTGGATGACAGCCAATAAACTTATGCTTAACACTGACAAAATGTACTAGATTATGTTTGGTAGCAGAGCAGGAGTTGCACAAATTAACATTAAGATCGACAACACTCTAATTGCCAGACATAATGAGGGCAAATTCCTAGGCCTATATACCTCGACAACAACCTGAATTTCAGCACCCATATCCAACACATAACCAAAAAAGTATCCAAAATGGTTGGGATCCTCTCCAAGATACAATACTACGTACCACAAAATGCCCTTCTCACACTATACCACTCACTTATTTATCCATACCTCACCTATGCTATTTGTGCTTGGGGATCAACTGCAGCAACACACCTAAAGCCAATAATAACCCAACAAAAAGCTGCAGTAAGAATAATCACTAAATCCCATCCCTGGCAACACCCCCCCCCCACTCTTCATAGATCTAAACTTACCCCTGTTCAGTACATCCACACTTACTACTGTGCAATCTACATCTACAGGACCTTAAATTCCAATATTAACCTTGACCTAAAACGCTTTCTTGATAGTTACGACAGAACCCACAGGCATAACACCAGACACAAACATCTCTATGACATTCCCCGTGTCCGACTAAACCTTTACAGAAATTCAATGTATGTCAAAGGCCCTAAAATCTGGAACACCCTACCTGAAAACTCTAGAACTGCAGACACATTCATCACCTTCAAAACTACCATAAGAAAACATCTCATCTCCCTGATACACCCCGTCAACTAATTACACGAAACCACCTGGTGGTTCACACTTACACTCACTCACCCATTTGACCATAAACAGAAATATCAATCTCAATCTTAAAATAATGAATGCTAACTAGTCATAAGTTGGCCTGTGATACTCCAATACTGAAACTATGTATTGTGCCAAAACAAAAGCATTCACATTGCTAAACTCACAAACTAGTATTTAGTCACTTAGCCATAATACCAACTTACCTCATAATTTGTAATACGTATTTTAAATTTAAGAATTAATCTAAGTCTGCCCGAAATGCCTAGCCATGCTAGGTGTTCTAGTGGTGCACTCTCTAATTATTATTTTACTACATTATTATTATTATTATTATCAAAAAAGAAGCGCTAAGCCACAAGGACTATACAGCGCTGTTATTTTACTACATGTAAACCACACAATAACCAAATTCTGTAAACTCAGCATTGTAATCCTTATAGAGAATAAACTTTGAATTTGAATTTGAATTTCAACTGGCTGTCCCTGTCCAGTCACTCAAATCCTGAATATTTTGTATGTTATCATACCTCCACTGGTCCTTCTGTCCTCTAATGGTCATCAGGTTTAACTCCTTTAGTCATTCTTCTCTGGACTTGCTTTTTTTATATAGACAAAATAGCTGCAGTGTAAAGGGCTTATGAAATCCTATACTAAAGACCAAGGAAAAAATTTAGGACCTGCCATTATTACTTAATCTGTTCAATAATAATCAATCAAAACTAAGCACTAAACCCACAAGGGTCATACAGACAATAATAAGAATAAGAGACTGCTTCGAGGAGGTGAGAGTAAAAGAAGGTATTAGGTAAGGAATAAGAGCTTCCTGACCACATTTGTGGAATCTGCAAATTACTAGATTCATGAGGGAGAGCTAAGCCTATAGAGGCTATACAACTTGGAGAGGAGGGGTAGGGAATGGGAAACAATCTCTGAGGGAGTGGGGCCAGTTCCTTGGATGAAGAGAACCTTATTGAGTTTCCTTGAGGGTTGTACAGTAACACTAATAACCGATATTCTTTTGTTTCTAACAGGAAACTTGGAGTGACAAATCTAAACTGGCGAGCGAGAAGATTTGTTCCACTTCAGCAGACTGTGAGGAGAAGCTCCTCTTACTGATGACAAGTTCAGCAATATCTGTCTCTCACATCTCACCACTCATCATTGCTGTCTCAGCCCTCTGGGCTACATCTGTCTATCCCCATACACCGCCCTTATCTCTACCTCTCGTCATGTTCATCCATTATCCTGGAGTAATGCCAAGACCATGAGGGAAAAGTTAGTTCAAATTCCTTGGATGAGACCAGCATCAAGGGACCTCTACTGAAGGAACAACATTCATACACATTCTTCAGTGAAGGCACTCTACTTCCCACCTCCAGGATTTAAGCCATGAATAAATTATTTTCACAACAAATAAAACACCCATCCTGTAATTCAATGAACAAAACAAACAACTTCATTTCTATAAAGTGGAGTAAAATGTACAATTGACATTAGAGTAAGTTACACCTGTATGAACTATATAGGAGCCCCTGGTTATGAAGAGCATGTCAGGTAGCCTTAAAATTAATTTATAATTACTACTAGACAATGAGATAAATATAGTATAGCAGGTTATTAGAATGTTAAGAGCTTGCCATGTTAGACATATATCCCAGGGTAAACCAGTCACTAGGAAAAAGGGTGCTACAGGATAATCATTATGATGGATAACATGGAAAATTTATTATTATAATCAAAAAGAAGCGCTAAGCCACTTATAACATGGAAAAGGTACCAAAAGATAATCATTATGATGGGTAACATGGGAAGGGTGCCACAAGATGATCAGAATGATGGGTATTATTATAATCATAACTAAATGTTAAACCTATAAGGGTCCTACAGCAGAATGATGGGTAATGTGGGTATTTGAGATACACAAGGCACCAATATCACTTTATAGTGCTTTGTTTTACAGCATTTTGCTAATGCAGTAGTTTTCAATTATACCCATTCATTTATTCAGATTTCCTACAATAAATGTATATTCACTCACTTTAAGCTAAGGATGAAAATATTTTAAGGTAAGTAATGTTTACCTGGAGAGAGTTCCGGGGGTCAACGCCCCCGCAGCCCAGTCTGTGACCAGGCCTCCTGGTGGATCAGAGCCTGATCAACCAGGCTGTTACTGCTGGCATATATATATTTTAGGCCTAGCTCTATTTCTCACTTGATATATAGTAGTGTAAATATGTTATCAGGCTTTTTATATGCATTTGAAAGTGAAAAATGGCTATGTTTCCCTCTACAGTAGCAGCCCAGAACCTAACCTATAAGCAGGGCCCTCCTCTATTATTACATTCATGAAGCACCAAACCCTTTAGGATCATAAAGTGCCATGGGGACTGGGAGGTGATCAAGTTTGACCCTACAAAGGAGGGGTCATGTCCAATTCCTTAGACCAAGAACCCCTTACTAATGACGAGGAACCTCCTTTGCAGGGGTGGAGGGGAACATTATCATCAGAGATCATATGGTATTGTTTCTCTTGTAGATAGTGAGCCCTGCAATCCCACTTAAGACAGGATATTGACAGCAACACAAGAAGTGATCCCCCTGCACAATAAAGGTAGCCCGATGGAAAGCACTGAAAGGGTTACTGTCAACTGTAGAGATGGAGATAGGACACTGACCTAGTGGCCAAATTGTCAGCAGTGCTGGCACTGTTGCAGTTTGTTGCAACTCCATAACAGCTAGCCATCAATGCGAGGGAGTGACAGTTAAGCATGTTTTTGGTCATATTTTTCTACTAAGTTTTTTAATTTAGCAAAATTGGATACATCAACATTGTGCTGATACCCTATTAAGATAGCTTTTGTTCCCATTGTGTAATTATGTGTTCCTGTCATATTCCATTCAGTAGAATGGGGGCTGAAATCTGTCAGCCTGAGTTGGGAAGCTTCAGTAGGGGAATTAGAATATCAGATTATTATTATAATCATGGAGGAGTGCTAAACCCATAGGATTATACAGATTAGAATATCAAGTTACGGGTTCACCAGCTACAACAGCTTCAAAGGTTTTGTTTCAGTACAATTTGAGTTACTGTCACCTGGGAATTGCCATTTCTCAGAATACACTCAGATAGTGGCAGCAGTCATGAGGAGGGTTGGGCAATGGTCTCTCCTCTTTGAAATAACTAGTCCTTGAAGCTTGAGTTACCTGCTAATACCTCCTGCACACTCCTCAAAGAACTGTGAGAAAAACCGTCCAAGAAAAGATAATCATCAAGCAACATGAATGCATTTGCCCATGGTGATTGACAATGATGGAAAGTACCAGCTACTGAATGCAGTGAAAAAGAGCATCATCTCATAAATAATTACATTACTTCACAATGTCTAAGGGCAATGTGTGGTGTAAATATTATGCAGAAAATTCGGAGTGTGGAGTTAATAAAAGTATTAGTCAGAGGACTGAAGAGGGGTTGTTGAGGTGGTTTGGTCATTTAGAGAGAATGGATCAAAGTAGAATGACATGGCAAGCATTTAAATCTGTAGGAGAAGAAAGGCGGGGTAGTGGTCGTCCTCGAAAAGGTTGGAAGGAAGGGCTAAGGGAGGTTTTGTGGGCGAGGGGCTTGGACTTCCAGCAGGCGTGCATGAGCGTGTTCGATAGGAGTGAATGGAGAAGAATGGTATTTGGGACTTGACGATCTGTTGGAGTGTGAGCAGGGTAATATTTAGTGACGGGATTCAGGGAAACCGGTTATTTTCATATAGTCGGACTTGAGTCCTGGAAATGGGAAGTACAATGTCTGCATTTTAAAGAAGGGGTTTTGGGATATTAGCAGTTTGGAGGGATATGTTGTGTATCTTTATGTTTTTTTTTTTTTTTTTCAACAAGTCGGCCGTCTCCCACCGAGGCAGGGTGACCCAAAAAAGAAAGAAAATCCCCAAAAAGAAAATACTTTCATCATCATTCAACACTTTCACCACACTCACACATTATGACTGTTTTTGCAGAGGTGCTCAGAATACAACAGTTTAGAAGCATATACGTATAGAGATACACAACATATCCCTCCAAACTGCCAATATCCCAAACTCCTCCTTATATGCCTATATGTATATGCTTCTAAACTGTTGTGTTCTGAGCACCTCTGCAAAAACAGTGATTATGTGTGAGTGAGGTGAAAGTGTTGAATGATGATGAAAGTATTTTCTATTTGGGGGTTTTCTTTCTCTTTGGGTCACCCTGCCTCGGTGGGAGACGGCCGACTTGTTAAAAAAAAAAAAAAAAAAAAAAAAAATCACAATGTAAATCTGGTTGTGCAATTTATAGGAAACAATCCTGTGGCTAACTAATACGTGTTTTAGAAAGTATTACTCACTCCTCTCTAATGGTTATAATCATAACTATAATTTTTACAATGGGTAGTTCATGATAGGTGCAGTAATTCAAGATAGGTGTAATGGTCATGATAGGTAGAGATCATGACAGGTATTGTAGGACATGATACAAAGTAGAGTAGGACATGATAGAAGGTAGAGTAGGACATGACAGAAGGTAGAGTAGGACATGATAGAAGGTAGAGTAGGTCATGATAGAAGGTAGAGTAGGTCATGATAGAAGGTAGAGTAGGTCATGATAGAAGGTAGAGTGGGTCATGACAGAAGGTAGCATAGGTCATCAAAGGTAAAGTAGGTTGTGACAGAAGGTAGAATAGGTCGTGACAGAAGGTAGAGCAAGTTGTGATAGAAGGTAGAGTATGACATGATAGAAGGTAGAGCAGGACATGATAGGAATAAATCCAGTGTGTGTGTGTGTGTGTGTGTGTGTTTGTGTTTGTTTTTTACCTATTTGTGGTTGCAAGGGTTGAGACTCGGCTCCTGGCCCTGCCTCTTCACTGATCACTACTAGGTCCTCTCTCTCCCTGCTCCATGAGCTTTATCATACCTCATCTTAAAGCTATGTATGGTTCTTGCCTCCACTGCATCACTTGCCTGATTATTCCAGTTCCTAACAACTCTATGACTGAAGAAATACTTTCTAACATCCCTCTGACTCATCTGAGTCTTCAACTTCCAATTGTGGCTGTTTGTTTCTGTGTCCCATCTCTGGAACATCCTGTCTCTGTCCACCTTATCTATTCCTCGCAGTATTTTGTATGTTGCTATCAAGTCTCCCCTAACCTTCCTGTCCTCCAGTGTCGTCAGGACGATTTCCCTTAACCTATCTTTGTAGGACATTCCCTTTAGCTCTGGAACTAGCCTTGTTGCAAACCTTTGCACTTTCTCTAATTTCTTGATGTGCTTGACCAGGTGTGGGTTCCATACTGGTGCTTCATACTCCAGTGTCGGCCTGACGTACACAGTGTACAGTGTCTTGAATGATTCCTTACTGAAGTATTGGAATGCTATTATTAGATTTGCCAGGCGACCATATGGTGCAGCAGTCACCCGGTTGATGTGTGCTTTCAGAGACGTCCTCGGTATTATACTCACCCAAAGATCTTTCTCCTTGGGTAAGGTTTGCAGTCTTTGGCCACCTAGCCTATACTCTTGTCTGCAGTTTTCTTTGCCCTTCCCCGATCTTCATGACTTTGCATATGGTGGGGTTAAATTCGAGGAGCCAGTTGCTGGACCACACATCCTGCCTGATCCTCATCTGATTTAATTCTCGTCAATAACTTTACATCATCTGCGAACAGGGACACTTCTGAGTCTATCCATGTGTGCGTGTATGTGTGTGTGTGCACGTGTGTGTTTTGGTACATATATCCAAGCTGGTGGATGCAAAAATAAAAGAACATTTTCTGAGTTTCACTGACAATTTTAGATGCCATATAGTGGAACCCCAGATTTTGCACACACTGGATATTGGGCTTTTCGGATTTCAGACATTGTCCCGGGAATCGCACATATTAGACGCGTCCACCTGCCGGGACGCCACTTCAGTCTAGCTCTGTCACTGGCTGAGTGAGCATTGATCCGAAACATTTCGCAACTTTTGTGCTCATTTATTGATTGTGACTGCGAAATAAGCCACCACGGGCCCAAAGAAAGTTCCTAGTACCAGCCCTTTGGTAAAGAAATTGAGAAACAGTATAGGATTAAAGAAACTGTAGAAAACTCCTCGCCTTCAATACACCAGCAAGAGTCTTCAATAAAGGTATGTAATGTTTATATTTATTTATATTTATTTATCATTGTTTTCTGTATGTAAAACTATAGTTATTCTTTAAAAATGAATTTTTTGTGAATATTTGAGTGTCTAGAATGGATTAATTGTATTTACATTATTTTTTATGGGAAATATTACTTCGGTTTTCGAGCTTTTCGGATTTAGAACGACCTTCTGGAACAGATTAAGTACAAAATCCGGGGTGCCACTGTACTTTATATTATTTCAAGAAGTATTAAGCTGTAGTGATTATATTATATATAATTAGCATAACAGATATTAGAGTATCCATAGTGTAGGAAAATCATGTAGTGAAGATGCAAATATTAAGATATATATCAGCATGTTTTTAATTATACATCATATTACATTATTATACAATGCTAATGAATATTGCATTTATTCTGAATGCAATACAGTCGCAGTCAAGCAATCTTAACAATGCAAGACAAGCCATGGGAATGGAAATCTTCAGCTCAAGTACTCTCACACATCTCTGTGCATCATGAGCTATGGAATGTTGCAAGAGTAGCAACAGGAGGAATGAGGGGAAGTTTTATCAGAGTAGAGTAGCTTGGTGACAACAGGCAGCTCCACTCAGATATCTGAGGAAATTAAAACTGTATCAAGGTATACATCAAATTCTAACCATACAGTAGAGAAAAAAAGTAATGTGAATGACCTGGGAGTGATAATGTCAGAGGATCTCACCTTCAAAGACCACAACAATGTATCTATCACATCTGCTAGGAAAATGATAGAATGGATAATGAGAACCTTCAAAACTATGGGCGCCAAGCCCATGATGATTCTCTTCAAATCGCTTGTTCTCTCTAGGCTGGAATACTGCTGTATACTTACTGCCTCCTTCGAGGCAGGTGAAATTGCTAATCTGGAGAGTGTACTAATAACTTTCACGGCACACATAAGTATGATAAGGCACCTAAATTACTGGAAACAGTTGAAGTCCCTGGATTTGTATTCCCTGGAATGCAGGCGAAAGAGATGCATGATGATACACACTTGGAAAATCCTAGAGGGATTAGTACCAAACTTGCACATGAATATCACTCCCTATGAAAGCAAGAGACTTTGCAGATGCAACATTTCCCCAATGAAAAGCAGGGGTGCCATGAGTATACTTAAAGACAACACAGTAAGTTTCAGGGGCCCAAGACTGTTCAACTGCCTCCCAGGATACATAAGGGGAATTACCAATAGACCCCTGGCTGTCTTCAAGAAGGCACTGGACAGGCACCTAATGTCAGTACCTGACCAGCCGTACTGTGGTTCATACGCCAGTTTGTGTGCGGCCAGAAGTAACAGCCTGGTTGATCAGACCCTAATCCACCATGCCTGGTCTCAGACCAAACTGCAGGGGCAGTGACCCCCGAAACCCTCTCCGGGTATACTTCAGGTATACCCTACTTTGAGAAAACTTCCCCTCATTAATTTGAATAATAAGTCAGAAAAGCTGGTCACATCCCTGGAAAATACAATGTCTACATCCACAGGATTAAAACAACCTTAACAGTTCATATAATATGTTGGGTCAAGCATACTTTATAAACCATCCAGCCTTAGACATATTTAATAAAACAATAAAAATCTGTGGGACAATTCTGAACTGGAATTTAATAATGACCAACATGTTCTCCAAGACCTCATGTCTGGAAGTGGAAGATGAAATATGATTACATTATAGAACTAAAAATGTTTAGCTCAAGTCAGCACTGCAAATGTCAAATGAAGAGACACTAAACATGTAGGAACAAAAAATATTTTTGGCTTAACTTTCAAGAAACATTAATAAATAATATCAGTGTATGGAATTACATTTTCTATAATAATGCACTCGGATGGTTTATTAAATACAAAAAATATACATTCCTACTCACAAATAACTACGACATGGACTAATATACAGTATGTGAAATTTTTAAGCTTAAAATTATTGTCTTTATAATACATTTGGCATAAAATACTGCCCTTGAAAAAGTTAGGAAATACAAATACAGCCTCTCCTCACTTAAGGATAGAGTTCTGTTTCTAAGACCACGTCGTTAAATGAATTCGTTGCTAAGTGAGGAGCATACTATAAAGGTAGTGGGTTTGTGTCAACCATCTTTGATATTGTTTTAATGTCACCTTTGCACCATTTATAACATTTCTGGTATATTTTTAAGTGATTATACAGTAGTGTACTGTATGTACATTGAAATAAACAGAAGAGAGGAGATCAGTTCTAATATACATTATTTAGGTATAAATACTGGTCAGAAAGCCTGCCGTAAGTCCAAGTTGTCAATAAAAGAGTACTTCACTAGGTGAGGAGAGGCTGTATTGTACTGCCAAAATAACAGAAAAACACCAATTAAGAATCATTTTGAGCCATATATGTTAAAGTATAATACAGTGGTACCTTGACTTACGAGTGCCCCAAATTATGAGCCATTGCTTGGTCGATTTTTTGCTTTGAGTTGCAAGCCAAAATCTGAGTTACGAGCAAGCTTCAGATACGCCGCCACTCACAGGAGATACCAAGGAAATACCAGCCAGCTGGCGGCTGGCTTGCTGGCTGATTTGCTTTGGCTGTCTCTATCTCCCATCTGTCTGTATATATCTGTCTCTGTCTATCTGTGTCTGTGTTTCTATCTATATTTCTATCTCTGTCTCTATCTCTGTCCCTGTCTGTCTATCGCTCTATCTCACAGGTACACATATATACAGCTAGACAGTGTAAATTACCTAGGATAACCCAAAAAATCCAGACAGTGCTATACTATGCTTGTAGATATAAGGCATAATAAGCATGGCTGGCAAGTAATACACATTTTCACTTGTTCAGGAATTAGATGTGATGACTCTGCATCATGTGTAATACCTGTTGGTTCATGAGCAGCTCTCTCTCTGAGGCAGACACACAAGTAGAGACAGGAAGACAAACACAGACAGAAAGATAATTAGAGACAGGGATAAACACAGAGCTAGACAGACAGATACAGACAGATAGAAACAAACAGATATGTTTATGTGTAACAGTGAAAAATAAAGCCAAGGCAGTGCACAATCATCAAATGTCACTCCACTGCTACACTGTCAGCAGTGGAGTGACACTCATCTTACACCATGCTTCAAGGAGTTTCATATATACTCCAGCATTTCTAAAACATTGGTGGGACCTGGCAAAAAAGGCAAAAATCATTTCTTATTTATAAATACATTTTCCTTATTTAAAAACCCGTAACAAAAAAATTGGGGTGGTTTTTTGGGGGCTGTAACAGATTAATGGCATTTCAGTTAATTCCAATGAGAAAAGTTGATCTGATATACTGAACAAGCAAACTGAGTTACAAGCTCGGTCACGGAACGAATTAAACTCGTAAGTCAGGGTACCAATGTAATCAAGAAAAATAACGAAAGTCCACGATTGAAGACATCTTAACACGGAAAAAATTAAGAAGCTGCAAAATTATTAAATTAATGATGGTGGACGAGGTAACAGCCATTCAACTGACACAAGTAGCACACTTCCTTTTTATTTAATAACTGAGGTTGGCTAAACAAAATCTCAACCAACAGTTTTACCAATTAAAAAAGAAAAGCAAAAATAGCAACTTATATCCAAAAGAATTGAAGTCACAATGTTATGACTGGAGCAGTTCACAATTAACCCACAAGCTCAAGATAAATCTTGAGATGATGATTCAGTCTATCCTGGAGCATTATCAAATTACTACTGAAACACTTGATAACCATTCAGCACAGCCAGAAACATTCTCCAAAGATTTATCTCCTATTTATGAGTTACCTGTGGAATTACATCCATTTATGGAACAAATATTTTCCTTTTAACAAGTGTTAAAAATTATTTCAAAACATTTTAAAATGCATTATTATGTTGAAGCATTTATCACTTTGGTAATCGTTTGTCAAAAGTGAATTTCATATGAATCCTTGAGAACATCCCTGTATATATCAGACTGTGAGCTCCACATTCCAACAGCCTGGATGATTAAGCCATCAATTAGGAAGCTTGGGCAGTGACCAGATTGTAAGGGGAGGGGGGTATATGATCCGCAGATCCATCACTAGGTAAAGGCTCATACAATAGAGCAATAGCTACATTTCTATATCTTATATATTTGATTTAGGTATAATTAATGATTATATATATATACATACATACATCTCCCACTAAGGCAGGGTGACTCAAAAAAGAAAACATTTACCATCATTCATTCAATCGCTGTCTTGACGAAGTATGCTGACGTTACAATTTAGATTATATTCTGAATACAACATCCCTACCTTTTAGACAGCTCTGGAAGACAAAGTCCAGAGAATTCTGTAACTCGAGAAATATTAAACTTTTCTGTGAATGTATAATTGCTTTCTTTTAGTAATAATAATATATTGTAATAACAGTCAAAATATTTCTCCAATTTAATTTTATTTATTATTTTTATGCAAAATTTTATCTACAAATTCTTTAACTTCCTTATGAGAAACCAGCCCAATAAATTTTTCGATCACAATTCCACGGTGTATTCCCAACACGGCCGGCACTGCTGTGACTTCAAAGGCATGCAGGAGGTCCACATGTTCATCTACCATTACCTGTTGAAATGAACCATTAGGATTCCTTAAATAATTGAAAAGATATTATGCAATTAAAAAGTAATACATAAATCTTCTTCCAAAGTCCTACAAATGTACTACATGCAGAATATTTTTATACTCTTAATGGAATCCCTTAAAATACTTCTAAAACAATCTAAGTGTCTTAGTCAACTGCTTTATATTTTTCCTGGTATACAGTATATAATGCCCTGCATCTATACATACACATTATGATGACTACTGAAATTAAAAATAAAATCCACAAATACTGGGATAAACTCAATCTTCTTGTGTAAAGGCTCTGGCTGGCAAAATGTTTCCAGAATAAAGATATCCAAATGTCGCAAAAGTGTCTCATTTATCAACTTGTCAGCTTTCTAAACCATTTATTCATATAGGAATGCCAATGTTAGTTTGAATGGATTGTGAACATTAGCATTTCATATTTAACTTAAGATCACCTACTTGTGTGAATATTTTAACTTTACTTATTTTCTTACCTCTGCTAGATGAAGGCGACCAACATTTTCAGTAGCAATTTTGTTTAGCAACGGCCTGAGGGAATGACATGGCTCGCACCAATCAGCATGAAAGTTAACAATTACTGGCAGAGAGTTTCTCATGACTTTGTTCTTAAACTCATCTTCATTTTGTATTTCAAACACATCCATTAGCTGGTCACTCTTATGAAAGTTCCTTACCCCAGAGGTAGCTGTTAAAAGCTGTACCTGAGTACAGTTATTGAAAAGCATCCTAACTGGGACCTTCTGAAGCAAAGTACACATAACTGGATTATAGGTGATAATTTTACAAAGTACAAACTTGTACAGATAAATTTGTTACATATATTTATTCAACTTGAGCTGCCCTTATGTTATTATTTACCAGTATTATTTTGTACTCATCAAATTTTACTAGTGCACCCAAGACTCTTGAGTTTACTAAAGCTTAACTTTTTTTAACGACCCTGCAAGTATGGGTTCAGTCCAGTGGTTAACGATTGCTCCAAGTCCTGCAAGTGCTGAAAAGCCCAAGATCAGCACTATAACCACCCGAGGGATGAAGAGATGATCAATCACCTGAAAATAATTAAAACGTGAGAATCTTTAAATACAGGTTCTGTATATTATAAATTGTAATGCAAAAATATTCCATTTAGGCACAAATTACTTGAAATACAGCTCTGACAATATTCTAAAGTATTAAAATAGCCACACTGAGAATAAAATTACTTTATTCTTGTATCTCAACTTGTGACAATGAGATGCTAAATAGTTATTGATAAAAATTCCTATTTACAATTAGTGTATACCATAGTATGTACTAATGAAAGTTTTAGAGCATGCAACTTGTCCCAGACATGACAAAAAATAAGCAGGGTAAGCATGCGGTATGAGGCAGCAGTGCGAGTGTTGAGACTGGGGTTGGAAAAAATACTACAGTATGTACATTATTGTGTTGGCAACAATTTAAAATTTTTACTATTCTTCACTCAAGATTCAACTGGTCCGCGCAATAACAAAAGTAAATGCTGTGTTTGAATTTTGCGGTAAGTGTAGGATAGCCGAGGTTCTTTTAAATTTTTTGAGAATGCAATGTATATGTAGATAAACAAGCACAGTGCAATAGTTACAACATAAACAAAATTGTTAAGATCCAAACAAAACTCCTACCACTTCCTCTATGATGGGCTGGTGGGGCGATGAGTGTTGGGGTAGGAGGAGCAACAAGAGAGAGAGCACTGCTGTAGCGAGAGTAACCCCCACCGCTGCGACTGTACGACTGCGCCCACAGGCAATTACGGCCACTGCAGCTGCTACCCACACCACAACCAGCACCACTACACCCACCCCTACGCCAAGCACCCGCATGTTACTCCCAGAAGGCACAGCATGCACGTTAGCCAGCTGCACAAGACAACATTTGTTAATGTTCTACACGTATGATTAAATGTTGCAATGCCAAAATATACGTACAGTATTTACTAGGGGATACCTAAAAAAAAAATTAAATAGTAAATAAAATTACCTTACGGCCCAATTCCCAGCAAGGTATGGTAAGGAACTTAGCACTATTGTATCTCCACAGCTTTAGATACATCTAGTACCATACTAAATAATATAAATAATTAAAAATTCCAAATACTGTACTGAAATTTATAATACTGTATACACAAAACAGCTGAGAATAAAAAATAAAAAAAAAAACATTGTCAAAAAATGTTTATCAGTTCTCTACATCAATTTCAAATAACTAGATTAAATGCCCAAAAAACAATAATGTCAATATGTACTTTACTGCTGGGTGTTTTTTTTATGTAAATTCTCCAGTACTAGGCATGCTGTGCATGGAAGATATATGATGCATATATATAGTACCTATGGGAAAAGGCCTCTCTTTTTTTTTTTTTTTTTTTTTTTTTAATATAACTTCACCTAATGTTAACCAACTTAACCTAACCAACAAATCTGCAGCTGGTCTAGGCTAGGCTAAGTTATGGTATGGTATTAAAATAACTTATCAACATAATGCTTCTTTTCTATTATGTTTAAAATATAAATGACTCCATTGAACAATGCAATTAATAAAAAAGAATTTACATAATAAATTATATTCTCATTTTTGCCTATTATCACCTAAATAATAAATTTCCAAAATAAATATATATTTTTCCTTTGCAATAAATAACATGGTTATTTATAAAATGATAACGAACTTTTGTCCTGGGAAACATGTACATAATGATACAAAATTCATTAACAGCTTAACTTGGTAAAAATTAATGCAAGCACTAATCAAAATAATAATGACTAATCAATTTCCATGTACTCTTCTATTTAATTTTTTTAGCTATTTACACAAAGTAATCTATTTTAAATTTAGAAATGATTTTACATTGATGGCAAATCCTATTTAATTATCCATGATGACTTTCTACACCACAGTAAAAGGGAAGTACTTCCTTAGTAAACATATAGCTCAGTTTCCAATACTGGACATACATACAGCATTGACAGTTCAGTTACAAACGCATATCCTAAATACAGGAAAGGCATTCATAGTTTCTAACAAATAGTGCCAAAGGCAATAGCATTCAGAACCTGAAATTTGCAGGAATAAAGAGACATGACAAAACATACTGCACACCCACAAGCTAGTACAGTATAACTAGGGATGGGACAATACCAAATTTTCTGCTGATAGTGATAATTTAAGGCCAGTACCCACCCCTACATGAATGAAGAAGTGCACAAACACAAACAGATTAGGATAAAGGAGGACAGCTTGATTTAGTTAAATTGATTTTATTATGCTAAACCTAGTTGCTACCCCTAGATGGACCCTTGCCCCTTAATCCTAATGAAATTTGGATTAAAATTCTTTGAATTTGTCCTGTCAACCCCTAACTATGGATCCAAACTTTGAAGTTACTAAGGCTGAGAGACTGTTCACTCCCTTCAAACCTCTATGTCTTAGAGACTGATTACAGAAGTCCCCTCATATCCACGTATATATAGGGTTCGCTACTCTCCACAGCAGGTCTAGGAATGTATTCCAAGACCTACTGTGGAGAGTAGCGAACCCTATATATAAGTACGTATATCATTTTTCATTTACATACATACCTATGATAAAGTTTAATTGATAAATAAAGCAAAATAAGTCTAGAATTAGCACTTTTTCACTGATGGGAAACATTTCACGGCTTCTCTTAGGCTTTGAAGAACTGCCAGCATCACTGCTTTTGGGGCCATTATTAAGCAAAATTAATGGTTATTCTTGGGCCACAGTAAACCATCAATAACTGAAACTACAGATGCAGAATCCATGGATACAGGGGTCCTACTGCACTTCACCTTGCTTAAAATATCTAAATGACTGCTATATTTTGACTGAAGAAGCCTAAAAAGCAGGTGGAACACATTGACAATAAAGATGCCAAACTGTTGCATGTTACTCATGAATAGATATTGAATCAAGCCCTTCACTGGGATCAAAGCACCTCTTGGAAGGTCCAAGGAAAGACAGGGTGGCTCTGATTCCTTGGATCAAGAGCCCTTCACAGGAATCAAGACATCTGCCAGTGAAAAATCTATTTTTTATGACTGCAGCTAATGGAAGGGAAGAATGCAACGTTTTGTATGTACTAAGTCCTTAAAGGTTCCTTGATGCTGGTGATGGGGTCTTGATTTAAGGAATTGGACCTGTGCTCCAACTCCTTGAATAGAGACTAAATACCTTCCATTCTCCCCTCCAAGTGTTGTATCACCCCTTCGGATTTAGCGCTCCCCCTACAATGTAAGACTAATAATGGATATAATGACTATTACCTGTGATGCAACGATTTTCTAGTAATGGCTGCCGCCTATAGGATGGTTATAGGGTGCATAAAATTAACAAGTTAACTAGGAATGAAAAATGTAAACAGGGAACTCCTAGAGAGGCCAATGACCCCGGAAAAAAAAGTGGGGAAAAAAAAAAGTTTAATGGTGAACGAAGTGAGCCAACATGTTAAGTCTCGGTGGTATTACGAGAACCACAAAGTATTAATGCAAGTAATTGACTTACACAAAACACTAGCCTATTAGAGGCACCTCCTCACATCAACTCCTCTGTAAATTCATAAAGAGAAGAATCCGTCAATAAACAAGAAGCAGCAAGAGTGGAGTCCAAGTTGTTTACATCTCACACCAACACATTCGTGAGTGACTGACCGTAAAACGAATTATATTAAAGATCCGTATTCTAATAACTGTTATACAGAAAAGTTAATTATTTAATATAATTTTCCCCAGTCTATATAAATTAATTAGAAGTGAATTATTTCTTGGGCAAAATGAGAAGGTAGGGAAATTTATTTAATGACTGAATGCAAGATATGACATCTAATACTGTCAAGTATTTTCAAATTCAAATTCAAAGTTTATTCTCTATAAAGATTACAATGTTGATTTTCCGAATTTGGTTTTTTTTTTGTGTGGTTTACATGTGGGTTAAAAAATGATTCCCGGGAGTGTCCCACTAGAAGGGCCTGCAGGGCTGGGCATTTCGGGAAAGACTGATTTTAAATTCTTTATTTTAAAATAAATAATAATAAAAATTAAAAATTTTAAATAATAATAATAATAATAATAATAAAAATTTAAATAATAATAATAATAATTTCTTTATTTACTACAATTTAATGAAACAAGGTTTCATTTCCTAGTGACAAAAAATGCATACTCCCTACTAGAAACCACTTGTTATGTGAGAATCTCGGGAAAAATTAGGTCAGGTCCCAGGAGGGCGCCCAAAACCCCAGTCGACAAAACCCCAAGGTCCCCATTTTACTGAGGGGGAAACCCTAGAAAACAGGTGGAAAGAAACACCCCAAGGGTTTTACTCTGGGGGGAAATCAAAACCCGGGCCCTGGCCGTGTGAAGCAAAGAGCGCTTTAAACCCCACCGGGCCCCCAGAGCCCCAAAATATTCAAATTATGAGGAAGTTGGGTATTAGGGGGCTAAGTGATTTAAATACTAGTTTGTGATTTTGCAAGGTGAATGCTTTTTTTTTGGGCACAGTACATAGTTTCAGTATTGGATTATATAGGTTCATTTTTTTAAAGTTTTGAAAATTAATATTTCGGGTTTATGGTAAAGGGGGTGAGTGAGTGTAAGTGTGAACCATCAGGTGGTATTCGTTTTAGTTGTTGATGGGGTTTTTTCAGGGAGATAAGTTTTTTTCTAAGGGTAGTTTTGAAGTGATGAATGTGTCTGAAGTTCTAGAGTTTAGGTAGGGTTTTCCCAGTTTTTGGGGCCCTTTTGGGACATACATTAAATTTTTGTAAAGGTTT